GGCCTCTCTCTCTCTCTCACACACACACACACACACACACACACACAGAGAGAGAGAGCAGGTCAGTGTGGAAGGGCCCCTCTCTCTCACACACACACAGAGAGAGAGAGCAGGTCAGTGTGGAAGGGCCTCTCTCTCTCTCTCACACACACACACACACACACACACACACAGAGAGAGAGAGCAGGTCAGTGTGGAAGGGCCTCTCTCTCTCTCTCACACACACACACACAGTGTGGAAGGGCCTCTCTCTCTCTCTCACACACACACACACACACAGAGAGAGAGAGCAGGTCAGTGTGGAAGGGCCTCTCTCTGCACGTGGGACTCAGGGTCGAGCGAGACGCACAAACTCCAAAAACAAGTCGTTTAAACTCATGCAGAAAACTCCAGAAACACAGAACTTCAACATCAACACCTCACCTGCACTAATCATTATCTGACTCTAGTTTGTCCAAGTTAAAAGTTTACAGACTTGGTTCCATCTATCCCTAAACATGTTCCAGAAACTCAGAAAAGTCTCTCCGTTTATGCTAAATACTCATTAATGCAGAAACATGTCCAAACACAGAATAATCCTGAAAATGTCTTGCTTTGCTGTTTTGTTGCAGTCATTTCTCCGTCTCATGTTTATGGTCATGAGCCATAAACACAGATAGAAAGAGATGCTTCTTTTGTGGGGAAATGTCAGTGTTGTATCACAAGTTACAGAATTAATACACAATACAGCAGAGGAGGATTTTAGCTAATTTTAGAAAAGAACCGCCCTCTCCACTTTTTGATCAAAACTCTCCGGTCTTATTGGACGAGCACGTATCCCCAGAATGATTGACAGTTGGGAGGAGCAATAGTCTTGATGATCCACCCGAAGTTCTTTCAGCCAAACGTAAAATAAAAAGTCACAGAGTTAAAATAGCGATGAACGATAGAAATACATTAATACCTCATTAAAGGAGATATACCCGTTTCTTTGAATGTTTAGCCCCGCCCCCAACTCGCTCACAGGCTTCTCATTTCCCCTACGCTCTCCTCCCACAGAGACATCTAGTTTTATTTACGGTCTATATGTATGCTAAGGTTAGCATTAGCACAACTTAAAAAAGCTATACCCGATTTTTTTCTAAGTAGTTCATAAAATTGCTTTTTACTACATACAAGTTGCATCATAATACATAATTTAATTGAAAACTTGAGGTCATTGATTCAGCTGTGTAAGAATTACAGGCAGTGAAAAGTGCTGAGTCTGAGCGGGACGTTCTCCTCCAATCACAGAACGAGCAGTGACCAGCCTGTGTCCTCTAGTCTCTACAGCCTGTGTCCTCTAGTCTCTACAGCCTGTGTCCTCTAGTCTCTACAGCCTGTGTCCTCTAGTCTCTACAGCCTGTGTCCTCTAGTCTCTACAGCCTGTGTCCTCTAGTCTCTACAGCCTGTGTCCTCTAGTCTCTACAGCCTGTGTCCTCTAGTCTCTACAGCCTGTGTCCTCTAGTCTCTACAGCCTGCGTCCTCTAGTCTCTACAGCCTGTGTCCTCTAGTCTCTACAGCCTGTGTCCTCTAGTCTCTACAGCCTGTGTCCTCTAGTCTCTACAGCCTGTGTCCTCTAGTCTCTACAGCCTGTGTCCTCTAGTCTCTACAGCCTGTGTCCTCTAGTCTCTACAGCCTGTGTCCTCTAGTCTCTACAGCCTGTGTCCTCTAGCCTCTACAGCCTGTGTCCTCTAGTCTCTACAGCCTGTGTCCTCTAGTCTCTACAGCCTGTGTCCTCTAGTCTCTACAGCCTGTGTCCTCTAGCCTCTACAGCCTGTGTCCTCTAGTCTCTACAGCCTGTGTCCTCTAGCCTCTACAGCCTGTGTCCTCTAGTCTCTACAGCCTGTGTCCTCTAGTCTCTACAGCCTGTGTCCTCTAGTCTCTACAGCCTGTGTCCTCTAGTCTCTACAGCCTGTGTCCTCTAGTCTCTACAGCCTGCGTCCTCTAGTCTCTACAGCCTGTGTCCTCTAGTCTCTACAGCCTGTGTCCTCTAGTCTCTACAGCCTGTGTCCTCTAGTCTCTACAGCCTGTGTCCTCTAGCCTCTACAGCCTGTGTCCTCTAGTCTCTACAGCCTGTGTCCTCTAGCCTCTACAGCCTGTGTCCTCTAGCCTCTACAGCCTGTGTCCTCTAGCCTCTACAGCCTGTGTCCTCTAGTCTCTACAGCCTGTGTCCTCTAGTCTCTACAGCCTGTGTCCTCTAGTCTCTACAGTCTGTGTCCTCTAGTCTCTACAGCCTGTGTCCTCTAGCCTCTACAGCCTGTGTCCTCTAGTCTCTACAGCCTGTGTCCTCTAGTCTCTACAGCCTGCGTCCTCTAGTCTCTACAGCCTGTGTCCTCTAGTCTCTACAGCCTGCGTCCTCTAGTCTCTACAGCCTGTGTCCTCTAGTCTCTACAGCCTGCGTCCTCTAGTCTCTACAGCCTGTGTCCTCTAGTCTCTACAGCCTGTGTCCTCTAGCCTCTACAGCCTGTGTCCTCTAGTCTCTACAGCCTGTGTCCTCTAGTCCTCTACAGCCTGCGTCCTCTAGTCTCTACAGCCTGCGTCCTCTAGTCTCTACAGCCTGTGTCCTCTAGTCTCTACAGCCTGTGTCCTCTAGTCTCTACAGCCTGTGTCCTCTAGTCTCTACAGCCTGTGTCCTCTAGCCTCTACAGCCTGTGTCCTCTAGTCTCTACAGCCTGTGTCCTCTAGTCTCTACAGCCTGTGTCCTCTAGTCTCTACAGCCTGTGTCCTCTAGTCTCTACAGCCTGTGTCCTCTAGTCTCTACAGCCTGTGTCCTCTAATCTCTACAGCCTGCGTCCTCTAGTCTCTACAGCCTGTGTCCTCTAGTCTCTACAGCCTGTGTCCTCTAGTCTCTACAGCCTGTGTCCTCTAATCTCTACAGCCTGTGTCCTCTAGTCTCTACAGCCTGCGTCCTCTAGTCTCTACAGCCTGTGTCCTCTAGTCTCTACAGCCTGTGTCCTCTAGTCTCTACAGCCTGCGTCCTCTAGTCTCTACAGCCTGTGTCCTCTAGTCTCTACAGCCTGCGTCCTCTAGTCTCTACAGCCTGTGTCCTCTAGTCTCTACAGCCTGCGTCCTCTAGTCTCTACAGCCTGCGTCCTCTAGTCTCTACAGCCTGTGTCCTCTAGTCTCTACAGCCTGCGTCCTCTAGTCTCTACAGCCTGTGTCCTCTAGTCTCTACAGCCTGTGTCCTCTAGTCTCTACAGCCTGTGTCCTCTAGTCTCTACAGCCTGTGTCCTCTAGCCTCTACAGCCTGCGTCCTCTAGTCTCTACAGCCTGTGTCCTCTAGTCTCTACAGCCTGTGTCCTCTAGTCTCTACAGCCTGTGTCCTCTACAGCCTGTGTCCTCTAGTCTCTACAGCCTGTGTCCTCTAGTCTCTACAGCCTGTGTCCTCTAGTCTCTACAGCCTGTGTCCTCTAGTCTCTACAGCCTGTGTCCTCTAGTCTCTACAGCCTGCGTCCTCTAGTCTCTACAGCCTGTGTCCTCTAGTCTCTACAGCCTGTGTCCTCTAGTCTCTACAGCCTGTGTCCTCTAGTCTCTACAGCCTGTGTCCTCTAGTCTCTACAGCCTGTGTCCTCTAGTCTCTACAGCGCTGCTAAACACCAGGGCTTCCACTTCAACATTCTAATATAATTCTAAAATTAAAAAAATATATATATCCGAACACATATTAGACAGCCCTTATAATTCGAAATGTATTCAATAACTGCAAATAAAATAGTTAGCTCCCAAAGGTTCCACCGGGACGTGCTAGGCAGGTAACAGCTAAGCTAGCTAGCTCCCTGGAACTACATGTTAATGGTTACTTCCGGGTTTTTCGCGATCGCATTTTGTCACATTAAAATATTAATTTGGTCATGAAAATGATAACAAGAAATTCTGAAAAAGTCCGTGCATGTGTGTTAAGGATGTATATGTGTACTGTATTGTCCGATTAACATTTAACGGTGTTGATTGATAGATATGTAGTTGTTTATTGAGTGTGGCTAGCTTCGCTAGCTTCTCTCGTTGTACTTGCGGAGTAATGTTAGTATTTTACACTCCTGAATTACAAACAGAGATTGTGTTGGGGCTTTGGTCATTATTGATTTGAAAGTTCTATTATCAAGAAAAAATCATCGGTAGAATTACATTCAAGTCAATGGAGTGTTCTACTGCTGCCTAAGGAGCTGTATAACAAATTATAATTAAATACTCAAATATATTCTAATGTTTAAATTAATAAATTTGGATGCGAAACTAGCGGTATTCTTTTACCTATATATTGTGTTAGCAGTGCGTTGCTTTAGTACCATTTCATCAGTGATTGTTGTACAGCTTACAAGAAGTTGTGCTAATGCTAATGTTAGATGTATGCTAACATTAGCATCAGATCACAAATAAAACTAGATGGCTCTGTGTTATGAGAGCGTAGGGAAATGAGAAGCCTGTGAGAGAGTTGGGGGCGGGGCTAAACATTGTGGTTTGGGCTGTTTTGCTGTGTCTGCAGTTACAGCCAGAGGAGTTATAGCCACTTATGCTAACATGCTACTGTGTTTAGCAGCGCTGTAGAGGCTAGAGGAGGCGTGGCCTAGAGGACGCAGCCTGTTCTGTGATTGGAGGAGAGCGGGCGTCACGCTAAGTCTCTACTCAGCACTTTTTACTGAGTTCATCCACAGCTGAATCAATGAGCTCAAGCTTTACATTAAATTACAGATTATAATACAACTTGTCTGTAGTAGTAAGCATTTTTATGAACTCGGGTATAGCATCTTTAAAATAAAAATAACAAAAAAATCCACCAATATTCTTTCAGCAAAATTTGAACAAAAAGTCACTAGAGGTAAAACCGTGACTGAGGTCCATCCAAACCAGATCAGTAACATCTGATAAATCATGCGACATCACCCACATTAACCTGGACGTCTCTGCGTTACTCTCTGATCCCCGAGTGTCTTCTCAAAAACACGGCTCCAGGCTTTAATGCAGCCATCAAACGGCCGCCTTCAGTCCATCAGATTTCCCGCGACACACAAACGCACCGTGACCTTGATGTGAGCTCTCTCTGCGCCAGGTTCAAAGACGCTCCTCGACAGTCGGAAAACACAGCGCTCCAGTCTAGGCTTGATCTTATTCAGGAGTTTGAGGTTTAATGAAGAGGTCTTATCACAGCAGCCGGGTCCGAAATGTCTTTGTCAGTTTAATACTACTGCTATTGTTGCTACTTTTAGAAGTATCTGTTTGGTTTCTGCTGCTACTGGATCAATAAAGTATCTAAAGCAGTCAGTTATTACAGACACTAGTATCGGGGTGATACCATAGGACCCGATACCCTCATTTTGGAGGTAAATGTGCACTTTATTAATCCCCGTAGGGCAATTCATCCTCTGCATTTGACCCAGATCCTGATGCCACTAAGGCTGACGTCAGGAGCAGTGGTCGCCGTAGAAACAGCGCCCGGTGTTGATGTCGATTTTGCCTACTATGCTTTTTTAGGGATAGGAGACACCGGAGCACTTGGAGGAATCCTACGCAGGCACGGGGAGAACATGCAAACTTCACTAGGCCCTGTTACGACCGGGATTCAAACCCAGGACCCTCTAGCTGAGAAGAGGGAGTGCTAACCACTCAGCCACCGTGCCGCCCATTAGCATCCCTACAGCTGTGCTATGTTGTTGTGGTGCAGCTTAGCTTAGCCACTAGCTTAGCGACAAGCAAACAGGATCTCGGTCGTTTGGAAGTTATTTTAAGTAAACAAGTGACAAGAGTAAAGCAGACTGTACGTTGTGTGAAACTGTAGAAACAAACGCGTATAAAACCAACAACTTGATCAAACATCTGTAAACTCCACCACACGGAGCTAGCACCGGAGCTAGCACCGGAGCTAGCACCAGAGCTAGCACCAGAGCTAGCACCAGAGCTAGCACCAGAGCTAGCACCGGAGCTAGCACCAGAGCTAGCACCAGAGCTAGCACCGGAGCTAGCACCAGAGCTAGCACCAGAGCTAGCACCAGAGCTAGCACCAGAGCTAGCACCGGAGCTAGCACCAGAGCTAGCACCAGAGCTAGCACCAGAGCTAGCACCAGAGCTAGCACCAGAGCTAGCACCAGAGCTAGCACCGGAGCTAGCACCAGAGCTAGCACCAGAGCTAGCACCAGAGCTAGCACCAGAGCTAGCACCAGAGCTAGCACCAGAGCTAGCACCAGAGCTAGCACCAGAGCTAGCACCGGAGCTAGCACCAGAGCTAGCACCAGAGCTAGCACCGGAGCTAGCACCAGAGCTAGCACCAGAGCTAGCACCGGAGCTAGCACCAGAGCTAGCACCAGAGCTAGCACCGGAGCTAGCACCAGAGCTAGCACCAGAGCTAGCACCAGAGCTAGCACCAGAGCTAGCACCAGAGCTAGCAGCGGGAAACAACTCTACACCAAAGCATTTGTGAGGTTGGAATATGACAGTGGTTCTTATTGTTGACTTTTAAAACCTTTGATAAAATAATTAATGGTTAAAGCATTTTCTTATTGTTGAAATGAGAAATAAAACATTTAAAATTCCAGTTGTACTCAGTATCCACAAGTACTCTTATTAAGGTACTCGTATCGGTGCATCCCTAATTATTACCATTAGTTTAATCCAAGTCAATTAGTGTTTTTCAACCAGTGGGCCGTGGCTCGTTGGTGGGCCTTGAGATGTTACTTGGATGTGCCTTATCTAATATCAGCCAAATATAAAACAAACAGGATCTCACTCTTCCATCTATTGTGTGTTTGTCTGTATGTTGGTGTCATATGGAGTCTCTGTGTCTGATTTAAAGATTAAATAAACTAAATAATCATGTTTTCTTTTGGATGTATTCTCTCAGTCTCTTTCCCCAGCACTGCCGACACAGTCACACCATCAACACTGCTCTTACCAGCGAGGGGTCCTCCGAGTCCGGGGCCGGGCTGAAGTCCTGGTCCAGGGGCAGACTGTCCTGGTCCGAGTCCGGCTCCTCCTCTAGAGCCGGGAACACAGACAGACCTCCTCCCTCTGCATCCACCATCCCATCCAGGGAGTCTGTGAGGGCGGCCAGCAGGGCGGCGCTCTCCTCCTCCATCTACGACCAGAGAGAGAACCGTGAGACCAAGGACAAAAGCAGCAGTTTGTTTTGAGGATACATTGATGCTAGCCTGGTCGTACCACACCATTGTACACATTTCATTTGGTACTATGGTCTGGATTCGCTCCACTGACTCCGTGAACAGGTGGGAGGGGCTAACTCCTTTGATTGAAACCATTGGATTGGAGTTTACCGTGACGTATGTAATGAGCCCGAGTGAGCTCAGCTTTAGCATTTAGCCTAGCTTTAGCATTAACCTAGCTTTAGCATTAACCTAGCTTTAGCCATCTCCTTTGCCACTAACGGAGCCCGTGGGGAGCAGAGCCACAATCTTTGCCAGCGATTACATTTGTTAACCCCTTAAGGATCACCCTCCCTGTACAGGGAGGATTCAGATATTTTTCATTTAACTGCATCAGTATTATAACTTAACTTGTGTCAATATAGTCAAGCTATACCTCTTTTGAAAGCTTATTCCCACCTCTAAATGCATATTATGTTCAAATAAACATTAAATATCAACAAAAGTAAGTATTTGTAGTCAAACTGTATACATATAAAAAATATATATTGTCCTTTCTTACCTTTTCATGCTAATATTCTGGGCCAAATCACGTCTAATCCACACATGTGTGCATTTATTTTGTCCGGGGGGGTCTAGAGAATACTTATATCCAGTTGTTTTTTCTTCAAAGTCATCATTATAGTAGATATCCACTTGTAACGACACATTTGAGTTTTGAAAGTTGCCCGAACAAAAATAAAACCGCGTCTTTGCGCACTGTCTGAAGACGCCATTGTTTTTTTTACCCAGAATCACTGGGTATGTTCGTCTTCCTCTCAGTCTTCCCTTCAAAACAAGCCCTCACTCGGACTTCTCAGTGCTATGGTTTGGGGGGTACAACAAGTTGACGAAAACAAGCGCACCAAACTTCAGCCCTCCAGGCATTTACCTTTCTGTGCGTCATGACAGCATTGTCTTGACTACCATTGGCCGATTTGGATGTCAATCAAATCATCTTGTAGCCAATAATCTCAGGTTTCAGGCGATGTGTCGGACTTCTAGCTTCCTCCCACTGTTCGAGTGTTATTTGAATGCGTAAAGAGGAAAGCGGAGCATTTTCACGGAGAACACGCGCTATAACTATATAAATAATAGCTTTTCTGTAAACATTTCAATATCTGGAAAAAAATCCTATTTATAGCAAGAGTAATAGCCAAAAAATGATATAATTTGATTTTTGGTGTAATAATGTTGATAATTTGCATGTAAAACACTTTGGCACAGTTGGCACAAAAATGGACCACTTGTGCCGAATGTGCCCATTAGTTACAAAAAAGCCCCCAGCATCAAAACGGTTCCACCTAAAGGTCTAAAATTTCATACAGGTGTTTCCAACACCACAGACATCTGCTCTGGTGAGTTTGAACAACATATCATAAAGTATGTCTTCAGGAGAACCTTTTGAAATTGCCTTTTTTTTTTCGAGACAAAAAAAACTAACTTTGACTCATGTTTGAGAAGCTGTAGTGCAGACTGTGTCCTTCCTAACAAACTGTAACATACATTTCCAGAAACTAGAAGGTGTTACCTTTCAAATGAGGCATCATAACACAAGATCAGACACAAGATGTCCACACAGTAAGCATTTCTATTTGGGTATCATAATTCGAGAAGAAACAGGCGAAATTAGGTGATCCTTAAGGGGTTTTTAAACCAGAACGGATTACTTAACTATCGCATTCTCCGCCAAACTCCCCCGCTCTCTGATTGGTCGGAGGAGATTCAACCGAGGAAACTGCAGCCAATAGGATCAGACCCAGACGTACATGTAGGAGATGATCATGGACCAGAGTTTACACATGGTAAGACCAGACGTACATGTAGGAGATGATCATGGACCAGAGTTTACACATGGTAAGACCAGACCAGTAAGAGATCTCTGATCTGGATTAAGTTAATTTTCCCAGTTTTGGCTCTTGTTTAAAGCAAATAAATGTAAAAACCTTGTAAATTATTCGCTTTTAACAAAAACTGTTCGAAAACGACTTGAACAACTTTGAGATTTCTTTCCCAATTCCCTTGATCTTCGATGGGAATTGTCATAATGCTAGTCTTTGTGTAAAATCTCCAAACACCTTCGTTCCTCTCCACAGTTGAGGCCTACTCTCTCTCTACATCTCTGTGTGCAGTCGAGGCCTATTCTCTCTCTACATCTCTGTGTGCAGTCGAGGCCTATTCTCTCTCTACATCTCCGTGTGCAGTCGAGGCCTATTCTCTCTCTGTACATCTCTGTGTGCAGTCGAGGCCTATTCTCTCTCTGTACATCTCTGTGTGCAGTCGAGGCCTACTCTCTCTCTGTACATCTCTGTGTGCAGTCGAGGCCTACTCTCTCTCTGTACATCTCTGTGTGCAGTCGAGGCCTACTCTCTCTCTGTACATCTCTGTGTGCAGTCGAGGCCTACTCTCTCTCTGTACATCTCTGTGTGCAGTCGAGGCCTATTCTTTCTCTCCGTACATCTCTGTGTGCAGTCGAGGCCTATTCTCTCTCTCTAGATATCCGTGTGCAGTCAAGGCCTATTCTCTCTCTACATCTCTGTGTGCAGTCGAGGCTTATTCTCTCTCCGTACATCTCTGTGTGCAGTCGAGGCCTAATCTCTCTCCGTACATCTCTGTGTGCAGTCGAGGCCTACTCTCTCTCTGTACATCTCTGTGTGCAGTCGAGGCCTACTCTCTCTCTGTACATCTCTGTGTGCAGTCGAGGCCTACTCTCTCTCTGTACATCTCTGTGTGCAGTCGAGGCCTACTCGCTCTCTGTACATCTCTGTATGCAGTCGGGGCCTACTCTCTCTCTGTACATCTCTGTGTGCAGTCGAGGCCTACTCTCTCTCTGTACATCTTTGTGTGCAGTCGAGGCCTACTCTCTCTCTGTACATCTCTGTGTGCAGTCGAGGCCTACTCTCTCTCTGTACATTTCTGTATGCAGTCGAGGCCTACTCTCTCTCTCTACATCCCTGTGGGCAGTCGAGGCCTATTCTCTCTCTGTACATCTCTGTGTGCAGTCAAGGCCTATTCTCTCTCTACATCTCTATGTGCAGTCGAGGCTTATTCTCTCTCCGTACATCTCTGTGTGCAGTCGAGGCCTATTCTCTCTCCGTACATCTCTGTATGCAGTCGAGGCCTACTCTCTCTCTGTACATCTCTGTATGCAGTCGAGGCCTACTCTCTCTCTCTACATCTCTGTGTGCAGTCGAGGCCTATTCTCTCTCTGTACATCTCTGTGTGCAGTCAAGGCCTATTCTCTCTCACTGTACATCTCCGTGTGCAGTCGAGGCCTACTCTCTCGCTGTACATCTCTGTGTGCAGTCGAGGCCTATTCTTTCTCTCCGTACATCTCTGTGTGCAGTCGAGGCCTATTCTCTCTCTCTACATATCCGTGTGCAGTCAAGGCCTATTCTCTCTCTACATCTCTGTGTGCAGTCGAGGCTTATTCTCTCTCCGTACATCTCTGTGTGCAGTCGAGGCCTATTCTCTCTCCGTACATCTCTGTGTGCAGTCGAGGCCTACTCTCTCTCTGTACATCTCTGTGTGCAGTCGAGGCCTACTCTCTCTCTGTACATCTCTGTGCAGTCGAGGCCTACTCTCTCTCTGTACATCTCTGTGCAGTCGAGGCCTACTCTCTCTCTGTACATCTCTGTGTGCAGTCGAGGCCTACTCGCTCTCTGTACATCTCTGTATGCAGTCGAGGCCTACTCTCTCTCTGTACATCTCTGTGTGCAGTCGAGGCCTACTCTCTCTCTGTACATCTCTGTGTGCAGTCGAGGCCTACTCTCTCTCTGTACATCTCTGTATGCAGTTGAGGCCTACTCTCTCTCTGTACATCTCTGTGTGCAGTCGAGGCCTACTCTCTCTGTGTACATCTCTGTATGCAGTCGAGGCCTACTCTCTCTCTCTACATCTCTGTGTGCAGTCGAGGCCTATTCTCTCTCTGTACATCTCTGTGTGCAGTCAAGGCCTATTCTCTCTCACTGTACATCTCCGTGTGCAGTCGAGGCCTACTCTCTCTCTCTACATCTCTGTGTGCAGTCGAGGCCTACTCTCTCTCTCTACATCTCTGTGTGCAGTCGAGGCCTACTCTCTCTCTCTACATCTCCGTGTGCAGTCGAGGCCTATTCTCTCTCTGTACATCTCCGTGTGCAGTCGAGGCCTACTCTCTCTCTCTACATCTCAGTCGAGGCCTACTCTCTCTCTCTACATCTCCGTGTGCAGTCGCAGTCGTGTGCAGAGGCCTACTCTCTCTCTCTACATCTCTGTGTGCAGTCGAGGCCTATTCTCTCTCTGTACATCTCTGTATGCAGTCGAGGCCTACTCTCTCTCTGTACATCTCTGTATGCAGTCGAGGCCTACTCTCTCTCTCTACATCTCTGTGTGCAGTCGAGGCCTATTCTCCCTCTGTACATCTCTGTGTGCAGTCAAGGCCTATTCTCTCTCTCACTGTACATCTCAGTGTGCAGTCGAGGCCTACTCTCTCGCTGTACATCTCTGTGTGCAGTCGAGGCCTATTCTTTCTCTCCGTACATCTCTGTGTGCAGTCGAGGCCTATTCTCTCTCTACATCTCTGTGTGCAGTCGAGGCCTACTCTCTCTCTGTACATCTCTGTGTGCAGTCGAGGCTTACTCTCTCTCTGTACATCTCTGTGTGCAGTCGAGGCCTACTCTCTCTCTGTACATCTCTGTGTGCAGTCGAGGCCTACTCTCTCTCTGTACATCTCTGTGTGCAGTCGAGGCCTATTCTCTCTCTGTACATCTCCGTGTGCAGTCGAGGCCTACTCTCTCTCTGTACATCTCTGTATGCAGTCGAGGCCTACTCTCTCTCACTGTACATCTCTGTGTGCAGTCGAGGCCTATTCTTTCTCTCCGTACATCTCTGTGTGCAGTCGAGGCCTATTCTCTCTCTCTACATCTCTGTGTGCAGTCGAGGCCTATTCTCTCTCTGTACATCTCCGTGTGCAGTCGAGGCCTACTCTGTCTCTGTACATCTCTGTATGCAGTCGAGGCCTACTCTCTCTCTGTACATCTCTGTGTGCAGTCGAGGCCTACTCTCTCTCTGTACATCTTTGTATGCAGTCGAGGCCTACTCTCTCTCTGTACATCTCTGTGTGCATTCGAGGCCTACTCTCTCTCTGTACATCTCTGTGTGCAGTCGAGGCCTACTCTCTCTCTGTACATCTCCGTGTGCAGTCGAGGCCTACTCTCTCTCTGTACATCTCTGTGTGCAGTCGAGGCCTACTCTCTCTCTGTACATCTCTGTGTGCAGTCGAGGCCTACTCTCTCTCTGTACATCTCTGTGTGCAGTCGAGGCCTACTCTCTCTCTCTACATCTCTGTGTGCAGTCGAGGCCTATTCTCTCTCTGTACATCTCTGTGTGCAGTCGAGGCCTATTCTCTCTCTGTACATCTCTGTGTGCAGTCGAGGCCTAATCTCTCTCTGTACATCTCTGTGTGCAGTCGAGGCCTACTCTCTCTCTGTACATCTCTGTGTGCAGTCGAGGCCTACTCTCTCTCTGTACATCTCTGTGTGCAGTCGAGGCCTACTCTCTCTCTGTACATCTCTGTATGCAGTCGAGGCCTACTCTCTCTCCGTACATCTCTGTGTGCAGTCGAGGCCTACTCTCTCTCTGTACATCTCTGTGTGCAGTCGAGGCCTACTCTCTCTCCGTACATCTCTGTGTGCAGTCGAGGCCTACTCTCTCTCTGTACATCTCTGTGTGCAGTCGAGGCCTATTCTCTCTCTGTACATCTCCGTGTGCAGTCGAGGCCTACTCTCTCTCTGTACATCTCTGTATGCAGTCGAGGCCTACTCTCTCTCTGTACATCTCTGTGTGCAGTCGAGGTCCTACTCTCTCTTTGTACATCTCTGTGTGCAGTCGAGGCCTACTCTCTCTCTGTACATCTCTGTGTGCAGTCGAGGCCTACTCTCTCTCTGTACATCTCTGTATGCAGTCGAGGCCTACTCTCTCTTTGTACATCTCCGTGTGCAGTCGAGGCCTACTCTCTCTCTGTACATCTCTGTATGCAGTCGAGGCCTACTCTCTCTTTGTACATCTCTGTGTGCAGTCGAGGCCTATTCTCTCTTTCTGTACATCTCCGTCTGCATTTTAATATATATTTCTTATGTGTTTCTGTTTTCCCGACAGCGTGGGAGGTTTGTGACGGAGGGTCCCTGCTGTGAAAGTAATGCGGCCTCAGTCAACACAGACGCCTCTGCCCTGACGCCTGTTTGCGTCTCTGCTTGATATTCATTAGAAAAACTGAAATAATTGATTGGATTTTAAATGACAGTGAAACAGCTGTTGAGGACGAGAAGCGGCCATGACTTTGGGCTTCAGGCAAAGACGAGAGCGGGCAGCGTGGACGATACCGCGGTGACCTTGGGAAGAGGCTAAATATGGTCCGTATTGTTCCATCTGATTGGTTATTGGTTTGAAAGAATAAGATTAGATATAGATGTTAGCAAACAACTATACATGTCTGTACTAGAACATACAGGGGTTAGGGCTTTACCAGAATACATTGAATTGAACTTTAGAATGATTTCAGTGATGTTGGAACTGGTCTCTCTCTCTGGTCTCTCTCTGGTCTCTCTCTGGGCTCTCTCTCAGGTCTCTCTCGGGTCTCTCTCTGGTCTCTCTCTGGTCTCTCTCTGGTCTCTCTCTGGTCTCTCTCTGGTCTCTCTCTGGTCTCTCTATGGTCTCTCTCTGGTCTCTCTCTGGTCTCTCTCTGGTCTCTCTCTGGTCTCTCTCTGGTCTCTCTCTGGTCTCTCTCTGGTCTCTCTCTGGTCTCTCTCTGGTCTCTCTCTGGTCTCTCTCTGGTCTCTCTCTGGTCTCTCTCTGGTCTCTCTCTGGTCTCTCTCTGGTCTCTCTCTGGTCTCTCTCTGGTCGCTCTCTGGTCTCTCTCTGGTCTCTCTCTGGTCTCTCTCTGGTCTCTCTCTGGTCTCTCTCTGGTCTCTCTATGGTCTCTCTCTGGTCTCTCTCTGGTCTCTCTCTGGTCTCTCTCTGGTCTCTCTCTGGGCTCTCTCTCAGGTCTCTCTCGGGTCTCTCTCTAGTCTCTCTCTGGTCTCTCTCTGGTCTCTCTCTGGTCTCTCTCTGGTCTCTCTCTGGTCTCTCTCTGGGCTCTCTCTCAGGTCTCTCTCGGGTCTCTCTCTAGTCTCTCTCATTGAATTGAACTTTAGAATGATTTCAGTGATGTTGGAACACTAACCCTTCAATGGTTTCCTGAAGCATTTGGTAGATCTGCTTGGAACTGAAACCTACCTTCATAACGTCCACTGTCACTTTACTTAATGTACTTATTATCCTTCCCTACAGTATATGTACAGTATATCTCTCTGTACTACTACTTATTTTAAAGACTAGTATTGAAGTAGCCTGGTCTTATCCATCCGTACTCTCCAGTCCATCATCATGTCCTGCATGTTTTGTCCGGGTGTGGTCCCTGTGTTTGCGATTACAATCGGTTGAATTCCGATTGTGCGGGAGGCGGGTGTTGTAGTTAGATGTGGGTGACGTCAAGAGTTTGCGCCGAACGGGCAGGTTTTAGTTTGGCGAAGAATGCGATAGTAAAGTATTCTGGTCTGGTTCTATAAATAAACTGAAGCCGGAGCAAGAGGAATGTTTAGCAAATGTAATCTCTGGAAAGATTGTGGCGCTACTCCCCACGGGCTTCGTTAGCGGCAAAGGAGATGGCTAAAGCTAGGCTAAATGCTAAATGCTAACGCCTCACTCGGGCTCATTACAAACGTCACAGTAAACTCAGCTCCAATGGTTTCAATCTGCAAAAGGAGTTAACCCCTCCCACCTGTTCACGGAGTCAATGGAGCAAACCCAGACCTCAGTACAAATGAAATGAGTACTATGGTGTGGTACGACCAGGCTAGTGTTGAAGCATTTACAGCTAGCAAAGAAATATAGCTACTATTTATTTTGTGTGCTCCCTGTGTGCTCTTACTACTGTCCTGTCTGTGCGCTGCAACATTGACATTTCCCCACTGTGGGACGAATGAAGGATCTTTCCGTATCTTTCCCGTTTGGAGCATCTCTATCTCTTGGTTTTAGCCACTTTTACCGTCAAACTGAAACCATTTGGTAAAGGTCTATAACAGGGGTCTCCAACCTGTAGCTCAGGAGCCATCAGTAGCTCACCAAAGAATTTAGAAATGATGGAATCAAATAATACACTTCATATTTCAGATTGTATCATTCATTCTCATTATTTATTATTGTAAATGCACTTTGTCACTATAGTAACACATATGTGATGATAAATAATGACTGTATCTAATAACAGGCTTTTTCACACCAATATATCTCCACATTATTCCCAGGTTTGCTCAATGGAGTAGCTCTCTGTCCCGGGAAAGTAGCTCTCTGTCCGAAAAAGGTTGGAGACACCTGATCTAGTCTCTCTCTAGTCTCTCTAGTCTCTCTCTATGGTCTCTCTAGTCTCTCTCTGGTCTCTCTCTCTGGTCTCTCTCTGGTCTCTCTCTAGTCTCTCTCTGGTCTCTCTCTCTGGTCTCTCTCGGGTCTCTCTCTCTGGTCTCTCTCGGGTCTCTCTCTCTGGTCTCTCTAGTCTCTCTCTGGTCTCTCTCTCTGGTCTCTCTCGGGTCTCTCTCGGGTCTCTCTTTGGTCTCTCTCTCTGGTCTCTCTCGGGTCTCTCTCTGGTCTCTCTCTGGTCTCTCTCTCTGGTCTCTCTCTCGGGTCTCTCTCTCTGGTCTCTCTCGCTGGTCTCTCTCGGGTCTCTCTCTAGTCTCTCTCTGGTCTCTCTCCCTGGTCTCTCTAGTCTCTCTCTCGTCTCTCTAGTCTCTTTGTGGTCTCCCTCTGGTCTCTCGAATCAAATAATACACTTCATATTTCAGATTGTATCATTCATTCTCATTATTTATTATTGTAAATGCACTTTGTCACTATAGTAACACATATGTTAAGGGTTAGGGAAAGTAGCTCTCTGTCCGAAAAAGGTTGGAGACACCTGATCTATAATAATAATTTTGAAAAACTATGGGTTCAAAAATAATGTTTTTAGTGCTCCCACATCTTAGAAAATTCAAAAAAGAAAAAAATTGCATGATTTTGCATTGCATTAAAGGGTTAATCCAGAGTTTTCCATCTACCTCCCTAAAGTTTCCCATCCACAAAGCAATAAAACCCACACCATGAGTCGTATCGCCGCTGAGTGTTCCACAGAGAGGACTTTCTGCTAATTGTCTGACAGCTTTAAATCCTATTGATTCCATTACATGCAATTAACACAACGCTGTAAGAACCAGCGCATAATGAGGCCTATTCCCCGAGTTACTTCAAAAACCGTTCATGAATTAAAAAACGGTTTTCTCCGTTCGCTAATTTTGTGCGTAACCGCCGGCAACTACACAAAAACGCCGCATATCTCCCATGTACGGCAACAATGTGAATTCAGCTGCCTTTGTGGGAATAATGAACGGCTGATTCATTGAAGGAGGCAAACGGCTTCAATAACAAATTAAAAATCCAATGGTCCATCCCTCACGGCGCGTAAGCATCAAAGAAGACTCATTTAGACTCACGTTCCGTTGTTTAGAGAGTGAATTACACCGACTATCCAATCTGAATGAGAACCATTTAGCTCCGGCTCCAGACCTGCTGAAATGAGACCTGATGGATTTAAGCACACACTGCAAAAAATGATGAAATATGAGAGAAAAAAAAGGCAAGTGTTGACTGGTTTTTATCTTAATTTGAGCAAGAACTGTTGCTCTAGTCTCTCTCTGGTCTCTCTCTGGTCTCTCTCTCTGGTCTCTCTCTGGTCTCAGCTCTGGTCTCAGCTCTGGTCTCTCTCTGCTCTCTCTGGGCTCTCTCTGGTCTCTCTCTGGTCTCTCTCTCTGGTCTCTCTCTGGGCTCTCTCTCTGGTCTCTCTCTGGTCTCTCTCTGGTCTCTCTCTGGTCTCTCTCTCTGGTCTCTCTCTGGTCTCTCTCTGGTCTCTCTCTGGGCTCTCTCTCTGGTCTCTCTCTGGTCTCTTTCTCTGGTCTCTCTCTGGTCTCTCTCTGGGCTCTTTCTCTGGTCTCTCTCTGGTCTCTCTCTGGTCTCTCTCTGGTCTCTCTCTGGGCTCTTTCTCTGGTCTCTCTCTGGTCTCTCTCTGGTCTCTCTCTGGTCTCTCTCTGGTCTCTCTCTGGGCTCTCTCTCTGGTCTCTCTCTGGTCTCTCTCTGGTCTCTCTCTGGGCTCTCTCTGGTCTCTCTCTGGTCTCTCTCTGGTCTCTCTCTGGTCTCTCTCTGGGCTCTCTCTCTGGTCTCTCTCTGGTCTCTCTCTGGTCTCTCTCTGGTCTCTCTCTGGGCTCTCTCTCTGGTCTCTCTCTGGTCTCTCTCTGGTCTCTCTCTGGTCTCTCTCTGGCTCTCTCTGGTCTCTCTCTGGTCTCTCTCTCTGGTCTCTCTCTGGTCTCTCTCTGGTCTCTCTCTGGTCTCTCTCTGGTCTCTCTCTGGGCTCTCTCTCTGGTCTCTCTCTGGTCTCTCTCTGGTCTCTCTCTCGGGTCTCTCTCTGGTCTCTCTCTGGGCTCTCTCTCTGGTCTCTCTCTGGTCTCTCTCTGGTCTCTCTCTGGTCTCTCTCTGGTCTCTCTCTGGTCTCTCTCTGGTCTCTCTCTGGTCTCTCTCTGGTCTCTCTCTCTGGTCTCTCTCTGGTCTCTCTCTCTGGTCTCTCTCTCTGGTCTCTCTCTGGTCTCTCTCTGGTCTCTCTCTCTGGTCTCTTTCGGGTCTCTCTCTCTAGTCTCTCTCTGGTCTCTCTCTCTGGTCTCTCTCTGGTCTCTCTCTCTGGTCTCTCTCGGGTCTCTCTCGGGTCTCTCTCTGGTCTCTCTCGGGTCTCTCTCTCTGGTCTCTCTCTCTGGTCTCTCTCTCTGGTCTCTCTCGAGTCTCTCTCTAGTCTCTCTCTGGTCTCTCTCTGGTCTCTCTCTCTGGTCTCTCTCTCGGGTCTCTCTCTCTGGTCTCTCTCTCTGGTCTCTCTCTGGTCTCTCTCTCTGGTCTCTCTCGGGTCTCTCTCTCTGGTCTCTCTCTCTGGTCTCTCTCTCTGGTCTCTCTCGAGTCTCTCTCTAGTCTCTTTCTGGTCTCTCTCTGGTCTCTCTCTCTGGTCTCTCTCTCTGGTCTCTCTCTCGGGTCTCTCTCTCTGGTCTCTCTCTGGTCTCTCTCTCTCTCTCTCTGGTCTCTCTCTGGTCTCTCTCTAGTCTCTCTCTGGTCTCTCTCTGGTCTCTCTCTCTGGTCTCTCTCTGGTCTCTCTCTGGTCTATCTAGTCTCTCTCTGGTCTATCTAGTCTCTCTCTGGTCTCTCTCTGGTCTCTCCCTCTGGTCTCTGAGCTCTTCTTTCCTTTACTGTGATGTCACTAAACCACATAAACCAAAAAGCAAACGATAAAAGTTAAGTTTGAGGTGAATTCTCAAAGTTTCTACTGTGGAGCTTTCTAAACAAACTGATGACATTTTCCTCTTGAGATTTACAGTGAGTTATTAATAAACAATGGCCGCCTCTCCCTCACAGCAGTGGCCTCGGACCTCACCCTCTCTCCGGACCTCACCCTCTCCCCGGACCTCACCCTCTCTCCGGACCTCACCCTCTCCCCGGACCTCACCCTCTCCCCGGACCTCACCCTCTCTCCGGACCTCACCCTCTCCCCGGACCTCACCCTCTCCCTGGACCTCACCCTCTCTCCGGACCTCACCCTCTCTCCGGACCTCACCCTCTCCCCGGACCTCACCCTCTCCCCGGACCTCACCCTCTCCCCGGACCTCACCCTCTCCCCGGACCTCACCCTCTCTACGGACTTCACCCTCTCCCCGGACCTCACCCTCTCCCCGGACCTCACCCTCTCCCCGGACCTTACCCTCTCTACGGACTTCACCCCTGTCCCCGGACCTCACCCTCTCCCCGGACCTCACCCTCTCTCCGGAACTCACCCTCTCCCCGGACCTCACCCTCTCCCCGGACCTCATCCTCTCCCTGGACCTCACCCTCTCTACGGACCTCACCCTCTCCCCGGACCTCACCCTCTCTCCGGAACTCACCCTTTCCCCGGACCTCATCCTCTCCCCGGACCTCACCCTCTCGACCTCACCCTCTCCCCGGACCTCACCCTCTCCCCGGACCTCACCCTCTCCCTGGACCTCACCCTCTCTACGGACTTCACCCTCTCCCCGGACCTCATCCCCTCCCCCGGACCTCACCCTCTCGACCTCACCCTCTCCCCGGACCTCATCCTCTCCCCCGACCTCACCCTCTCCCTGGACCTCACCCTCTCCCCCCGGACCTCACCCTGTCCCCGGACCTCACCCTCTCCCCGGACCTCACCCTCTCTCCGGACCTCACCCTCTCCCCGGACCTCACCCTCTCCCCGGACCTCACCCTCTCCCCGGACCTCACCCTCTCCCTGGACCTCACCCTCTCTCCGGACCTCACCCTCTCTCCGGACCTCACCCTCTCCCCGGACCTCACCCTCTCCCCGGACCTCACCCTCTCCCCGGACCTCACCCTCTCCCCGGACCTCACCCTCTCTACGGACTTCACCCTCTCCCCGGACCTCACCCTCTCCCCGGACCTCACCCTCTCCCCGGACCTCACCCTCTCTACGGACTTCACCCTCTCCCCGGACCTCACCCTCTCCCCGGACCTCACCCTCTCTCCGGAACTCACCCTCTCCCCGGACCTCACCCTCTCCCCCGACCTCACCCTCTCCCTGGACCTCACCCTCTCTACGGACCTCACCCTCTCCCCGGACCTCACCCTCTCTCCGGAACTCACCCTTTCCCCGGACCTCATCCTCTCCCCGGACCTCACCCTCTCGACCTCACCCTCTCCCCGGACCTCACCCTCTCCCTGGACCTCACCCTCTCTACGGACTTCACCCTCTCCCCGGACCTCATCCCCTCCCCGGACCTCACCCTCTCAACCTCACCCTCTCCCCGGACCTCATCCTCTCCCCGGACCTCACCCTCTCCCTGGACCTCACCCTCTCCCCGGACCTCACCCTGTCCCCGGACCTCACCCTCTCCCCGGACCTCACCCTCTCTCCGGACCTCACGCTCTCCCTGGACCTCACCCTCTCTACGGACTTCACCCTCTCCTCCGGACCTCACCCTCTCCCCGGACCTCACCCTCTCTCCGGACCTCACCCTCTCCCCGGACCTCACCCTCTCCCCGGACCTCACCCTCTCTCCGGACCTCACCCTCTCCCCGGACCTCACCCTCTCCCCGGACCTCACCCTCTCTCCGGACCTCACCCTCTCCCCGGACCTCACCCTCTCTCCGGACCTCACCCTCTCCCTGGACCTCACCCTCTCTCCGGACCTCACCCTCTCGACCTCACCCTCTCCCCGGACCTCATCCTCTCCCCGGACCTCACCCTCTCCCTGGACCTCACCCTCTCCCCGGACCTCACCCTCTCCCCGGATCTCATCCTCTCCCCGGACCTCACCCTCTCGACCTCACCCTCTCCCCGGACCTCACCTTCTCTCCGGACCTCACCCTCTCCCTGGACCTCACCCTCTCTACGGACTTCACCCTCTCCTCCGGACCTCACCCTCTCCCCGGACCTCACCCTCTCCTCGGACCTCACCCTCTCCCCGGACCTCACCTTTCCCCGGACCTCACCCTCTCCCCGGACCTCACCCTCTCCTCGGACCTCACCCTCTCTCCGGACCTCACCCTCTCCCCGGACCTCACCCTCTCTCCGGACCTCACCCTCTCCCCGGACCCCACCCTGTCCCCGGACCTCACCCTGTCCCCCGACCTCACCCTGTCCCGGACCTCACCCTCTCCCCGGACCTCACCCTCTCGACCTCACCCTCTCCCCGGACCTCACCCTCTCCCCGGACCTCACCGTCTCCCTGGACTTCACCCTTTCCCCGGACCTCATCCTCTCCCCGGACCTCATCCCCTCCCCGGACCTCACCCTCTCGACCTCACCCTCTCCCTGGACCTCACCCTCTCCTCGGACCTCACCCTCTCTCCGGACTTCACCCTCTCCCCGGACCTCACCCTCTCCCCGGACCTCACCCTCTCCCCGGACCTCACCCTCTCCCCGGACCTCACCCTCTCTCCGGAACTCACCCTCTCCCCGGACCTCACCCTCTCCCCGGACCTCACCCTCTCCCTGGACCTCACCCTCTCTACGGACCTCACCCTCTCCCCGGACCTCACCCTCTCTCCGGAACTCACCCTTGCCCCGGACCTCATCCTCTCCCCGGACCTCACCCTCTCGACCTCACCCTCTCCCCGGACCTCACCCTCTCCCTGGACCTCACCCTCTCTACGGACCTCACCCTCTCCCCGGACCTCACCCTCTCTCCGGAACTCACCCTCTCCCTGGACCTCACCCTCTCCCCGGACCTCACCCTCTCCCTGGACCTCACCCTCTCTACGGACCTCACCCTCTCCCCGGACCTCACCCTCTCTCCGGAACTCACCCTTTCCCCGAACCCCATCCTCTCCCCGGACCTCACCCTCTCGACCTCACCCTCTCCCCGGACCTCACCCTCTCCCCGGACCTCACCCTCTCCCTGGACCTCACCCTCTCTACGGACTTCACCCTCTCCCCGGACCTCATCCCCTCCCCGGACCTCACCCTCTCGACCTCACCCTCTCCCCGGACCTCACCCTCTCTCCGGACCTCACCCTCTCCCCGGACCTCACCTTCTCCCCGGACCTCACCCTCTCCTCGGACCTCACCCTCTCTCCGGACCTCACCCTGTCCCCGGACCTCACCCTCTCTCCGGACCTCACCCTGTCCCCGGACCTCACCCTCTCTCCGGACCTCACCCTCTCCCTGGACCTCACCCTCTCCCTGGACCGCACCCCCTCTCGACCTCACCCTCTCCCTGGACCTCACCCTCTCGACCTCACCCTCTCCCTGGACCTCACCCTCTCGACCTCACCCTCTCTCCGGACCTCACCCTCTCGACCTCACCCTCTCCCTGGACCTCACCCTCTCGACCTCACCCTCTCTCCGGACCTCACCCTCTCGACCTCACCCTCTCCCTGGACCTCACCCTCTCCCTGGACCTCACCCTCTTCCTGGACCTTTAACACGTCCGTTTACAGAAAATATCACAGTTGAATTAGTTTGACTCGATGTTGGCGTTTACGTTTACTCCCAACAGCAGATTGGGAACGATTCTCCATTTCTCAGGGTGTCATGAGGTTGTAGATCACAGCCCGCGATGGTTTTCAGATTCCACACGGAGACGGTGATGACTCCATCGACTCAGACGAGGACGAACCACAAACGCACAAATGTATTATTAAAGAGAGAAGGTCGTTTGGAAAGAGGAGAGACGCTCTGTTCTCACTGTAGACCCGGGTTTTCACTTTAGGATTCAGATTTACAGATGGTCCCAGAGTGAGGACATTTCACTGTTGTATCGTCAGTTACAGGACAAGACAACTATAACTCTATACCTAAGTAAAATAACATCTCTAGCTTTAGCTTTAGCATAGTAAAGAAGCTAGTATAAAATCTCTAGCTTTAGCATAATAAAGAAGCTAGTATAAAATCTCTAGCTTTAGCATGATAAAGAAGCATACAATCCTGTGTATAAATATAAAATAAAACAATAGATGATTTAAAGGTGACTTTATGTCAAATACAAGAATACGGTGGATGTGAACTTTTGACTGTACATGTCTGACTCTCTCTGAGGCAGCCACTTCAAAAGCAGAAGATAAAAATCTATAATAAAGATTTAATGACGCACAGAAAAAACACGTATTCAGTTTTTATCAAAGGAAAATGAGCCTTAATCATGTGATAATTAACTTTGATGGAAAATGCTGTTTCAACTGGTTTCACTGATTCTTTGGCTTCAGCACATTTCTTCCTTTGGTCTGAGAGAGTTTTATCCATTTACAATAGTTAGACTAAAATCAACTTAAGTGATTACTTTGCTCTCGGGAAGTTTGAGGAATACAGAATGTTGGCGGTCGACTGTGGTTTTGAAGAAACACAAACAAAAGAAAGAAATCTGTAAACAAGGAGGTCCACAAAAGATAAATATAAACTAGTGATGAGAAAATTAACATTCTCCTTCAAAGAGAGACATTTCTTGGATATTTGTAAAACACAATCATTTGGCTTTGTCGCGTTGGTAAATATGGAGGATTGAAAGTGCCACAATTAAATAAATAAATACACCATTAAATAATTAAATACATGTGTCATTAATTAATTAAATGTTTCATTAATTAATTAAATATGGAATTAAATAAATAAATGCACCATTAAATAATTAAATAAATGTGTCATTAATTAAATAAATGTGCCATTAATTAAATAAATGTGTCATTAATTAATTAAATTACCAATGATTCTGTGTAAAAAAAAATATATATATATTTATCTATTTAATTAATTATTTCATGGTCCTGTGTTGCAGTGTTTCATGAATTAATTTTATCTGTCAAACTCGCCCATCAAAAGTTGTGGGCGGGCTAAAGCCTGGTTTACTCAAATCTTGTCTAATCCATTGCTTTGACCTGAAGTGTTTTTTGGAAACATGGCGGCTACGCTGATGGAGGACCTTCATGAAGTTTCAAGGGAGTTGGTGCGAGATATTTTAGACCTTGCTGAGTATGTGGAAGCAGGACCTGCAGACCCCGAGCATATACAGAATAAAGCGGAGGAATTTATTGAAGTTCTTGGAGTTATTTCTGCACTTTCTGACCATGGCATTGACCGTAGAGTGACCGAAATTTTAGAAGAAGTACTCTACAGCTTCACTGGTACCCGGGCACAACAGGCAAAACACAGAGGGACCAGGGCGTTTGGCGTTTGATATACCCAGTGCAGTTCTGGAGCATCACATTCTTTGTGGATTACCAGCAAGTCAAATTGCAGCGATGTTCGGAGTGTCAAAAAGGACCATCAGGAGAAGTGGTTTGAGGTATGTACACTACATTAATGAGTTTTCAGTTTATGAATTCTGTTTAACAGAACATTGGTGTAACATTTATCATTGTTGTATTTTGTTTGCAGAAAGAGAGACCTCTATTCAGCTGTGAATGATGAGGAGTTGGACCGCATTGTAAGTGAAGTCCACAGAAGACATCCAAACGACGGCTACAAGTTAATGCGTGGTCATTTGAATGCAAGAGGTGTGCGTGTTCCAAGTGAGTATAATGATATGGTGTAATTTAGGTTAGCAATTTGTTAAGTCTCTTTCATAACATGAAATTAACTTTTTTGGTTATGCTGTAGTGTAGTACTTTTACACGCATTGTTTTTTTTATTATAATACGACTATTTCTTCAAAATAAGTGACACCACAGGAAACTGCTAGTGAGAGTATGGTTATTTTATTTTCTTCCCCTCAGTCTCAAGACTGCAAGAGTCTTTACGCAGAGTCGATGCAGAGGGAGTTCACCTGAGACGTCTAAGGTTGCGCGTATTAAGACGACGGCAGTATTCTGTTCCTGGCCCAAACTCTTTGTGGCATATAGATGGGCACCATAAGCTAATCAGGTCGGTAATGTTGGCAGAGAATCGGTGCATCTAATCAGAAGTGCTTTACAAAAATAATGTGTGTGTTCACATTGTCTGACAGGTGGAGATTTGTTGTCCATGGTGGGGTGGATGGATTCAGTCGTTTAGTGGTCTACCTGACTGTGGCTGGCAATAATAGAGCTTGCACAGTCTTACAAAGTTTTATCGCTGCTGTTGAGCAGTATGGGCTACCTTCAAGGGTACGGTCTGATAAAGGGGGAGAGAATGCAGATGTGGCAGAATTCATGATCAGGAGCAGAGGTACTGACAGGAATTCGCACATCACAGGCAGAAGCGCCATAACCAACGGTAAATAAATGTTTGGCTCACACAACAAGCACACCATATGAATGTACTTTTTTAGCATATGCCACACATAAATTAACACCTTTGTCAATTTGATCCAAAACACAGAATAGAAAGGATGTGGAGGGACGTTTATGAACATGCACTGGACCTCTTCTATCAGATCTTCACTTCATTGGAATATCAGGGAACACTGAATCCAGACAATGAAGTCCATCTTTTTGCCCTGCACTGGATCTTCCTTCCACTAATCCAGCAAAGCCTCAACTCTTTCCGAGATGCTTGGAACTTTCATGGTCTTAGAACTGAAAGGAATCAATCACCACAGCAACTCTGGAGAAGATACAGAGAGCAAGGCCCTATGGAGGATCCTATTGAGGTTAAAGAAAAATATACACCTTTTCATCCCCAAATTACAAAGAGACTTGAAAGTATTGATAGGCTAAACGAGCCACGGTATCAACACATGTATCATACGCAGTAAGCGTGCACGTGTCATTTTAAGAAAAGTCACATGAACAGATTCACTATCAGTTCGTCTCACACGCAACTAGCAGCAGTATGCAAGGGTCACCAGTTCAATGGAGCAACCAGACTATCGGATCACTAATTTTCTCATTTGAATCTGCCACAAACAAGTCTTGCTGTCACAGCACTTTGTATTTCATTTGTAATTTCACCATTTTATCTTGATTGGGGACTCTATTTTGGATCGTGTGGTCTGTGGTACTTTAATGTAGACTTTCATACATTAGTTTTGTCAGGAATTAGAATCATAAAGTTTCCATTTTCATAATCCTCAGCACAGTTACCTTTTACTCAGTATGGCCAATATGGTGGTGCTAATGAGCTGGTTAAACAAGCTTATTCATGTCAATTTGGTTCACGTTTCTGAAAGAACAAGCTCCATGCACACTGATACTGTACTAAAGGTGTCACACACACTTTGGCCTCATCTGCTCATCACTACTTGAAATAAAATGCAAGAATCCAAGGTTAGTGCCTTCACAAAAAAGAGACCAACGTCTTATAGGTTATATAGCTGTAGTTACAATGGTGCATACAATGCATACCTGTACTGTTACAAACTGAATTGGACAATCTAAAATACGTCATGTCACCAGTTTTAAGTACACAATTGATCATGCTTCTTGTCCTTTCAGGTTTATGAAGGCTATGGGATTGACTGGAACGGACCTCACGCTCTTCATGGAGGCACCGTGTCAGTCCCGGAGATTGAACTGGCTCGTGAACTCTCAGATGAAGAAGTAGCCATTTTGCCAGCTCCAGGAGTTTCTATAACTGAAGCACTCAGATCATATGTAGAGACTGTGCAGGTTTTAGAAAGAGTCTTAGACTGATGTCCAACCTATGCTTTTATTTAGCATTATAGAACAGGCATGAACTGAAAGTTCTTTTCATGGCAAAAAAGTAGTACAAGTGTTTTACTTTGAAGCTATGCCATAAACTGCACAGCTCCCCTACTCTTGAACATACTTTACCTCCTGTCTCATTGAACACAGAATGATTAACATCAATGCTGTTCTGTTAACACGGACAGCCAAAGATACACCACTGTTTTTTTCTGTAAAATGTGTAAAAACATGTCAAATGCTGCACAGTATAAACTTTTTTTTCCACATACTGCATTTGTGTCAATTGAACTGAACAGTGCATTTAATAACTGTCTGAAAAAAGACTAAACAAGTCCAAATCCAGTCCGAGCACTATTTATGGCAGCCAGAAGCGCTTCCTCAAATTCAGTGTAGATTTTGAAATGAGCAGGCAGCTTTAGTGTTTCAAAGCATGTGGCAGACGTAGGAAAGTTTCCCACAGAAACCTCCACTTTTAGTTCAGAAGGAAGCCTCTCCCAGCCAACCCAGAATGTCAGCAGCTGGGCCAGTGTGTCTGATGAAGCTGAAAGTCAAAATGGATTCAAGATGACATTAAGTTAAACTTTAATTGATCATATCTAATCAATGACACAAAAGCATTTGCTAGTAGAGCAAAACATAACAAGGTGTTATACCAGTTTCAATGAACATTCTTAAAAAGCCAGTGATGCGGCATATGGACTCTATGTCAAAGTCTTCATCACTGTCCTCAACCGGCCATATGATTCTTTCCAGGAGCATCTTAAAGAATCATATCAAAGTATTTTAAATGGAGAACTTATTTGGCTTCATTCTTGGTCAATGTAAAAATAACCAGTTCAATATGGTGTAAATGTAAATTAATTAAGTAAAGAAAAAATATAACTAAATTTCTGACTTACCTGGGGTGTAAACTGTATTTCAGCCATTTTGGGGAAAAGAAGTGGGACAATATCTGGCCTAGATGTCAGCAAGGGCCATAGCATAACATCTTTCAGTCCCTTTCTCAACTGTTGAATTTGGCGCATAGTCCTCCCAATCACCTAAGAGACAGACCAGAACTATAACACAAGCCAAATGCTCAACCAATTTTGGGGGGGAAATGTTCATAAAAGTAAAATTATTATGTTAATATAATTAATTAAGAATATATCAACCGATAAGACATTTACACATTTTTAAATAATGTGCCCCAATATTCAGATAGTTCTTTTCCACCCTGCAACTCACTGAATGAATTAGAAGTTTGCTATGCAGCCATCTCCGATTTGTTTTTGTGACAGCTGGGAGATCCCAAGACATGGAGAGTTCTGACACAGTGTTCTTCTGTTCTGGTGTAAGTTCTTCATGTTCAAGCTAAACTCGAGACCATATACGTTATTACATTTTACAAGGCAAATATTTATTTGTTACATACCAGTTGAATGATACTCTTGATGTGCAGATCAGGACAGTCTTCAGTAACAACTGTTGCCGTTTCAGGGTCTCCATTGAACAGTACATGAATTACAGCAGGACTTAATCCTTTGATGTTGGGTCCGTCATGCAGGAAACTGTGGGCCAACATCCTTCCTGCAACGCGGAAGAGGTTGCTGTCAATAAGCACCTCTGATGCTGCTGGAACGAGGTGGTCAGGTTCACCCTCAAACAGTAATGTACGCCCCATTCCTCCTGTTAAGAACACAGAGTAGTCACAATTAACCACCGAACTGCATTTCAAATTACATCATATTAACCATAAAAATAAACAGGAACTTGCCAAGATTTAGACAAAATCCAAACTGGAGTTTGGAAATTACTGTTGTCATAAAGTGCCGCATTACTCCCTCTCCAATAGCAACATCACCTATAAATATAATACTGAGAATAACACAGTGGTAAAACAGTGGCTGAATGATGCAGGTAACTGGACAAGTAACATTTAACAGGCAAGGCAACAAGTCCAGCTCCAAAACAGAAAAATTAGTGATCATCAATTATACACTTTTTTTTTTGGATTTCATTCTCCCATTGAACAATTCCATATGATACTTTAATTATATAAAGCATGCATTTGTAGTTTCTGTGTTCCACATTGTTTTTTCTGGATAATTTTGTACGTCTGGAGGTTTGGTGGATTTGTTTACTTTTAAAGTCCAAAATGGTCCTGAAGAAAGCAGCTTTTTAAAAGTAAACAAAATGCTAGCTTTTCAGCTAAACCCATTTGAGATCTACAAATGTCTTCTGAGACACTGAAGAGACACCAAGAGCCCCCCCAGCTGCAGCACAGAGGAGGCATCACAAGAAGAGCTACAGGAAACAAAAAGGGACACACGAGGAGATGTTGAAAGACTGGAGGAAGGGGCTGCAGGAGGAGCTGACAAGTGCAGGACACCACGCTCTGAAACGGGGACAAACCCAGGAGGTGGTGCACCGTTTCAGAGGATCAGAGGAGACAGAGGGCAGCCAGCCAGGTTTCCTCCAAATGCTACAGTTTCCCCGACCTCCAAGGTCATGCAAGTCAGGTCGACACAGTGGCAGCGCGGCTCAGCCGCAGCAGCTCAGGACACACACCTGAACACTATTTCGTTGTGCACTTGTACAATGACAATAAAGCACTTACTTAAACTTTACTAATATATTTATATAACAGCATTTATGGTATATTACTTACCAATGAGAGTACAACGGAGTGGACATGCCCATTCTTGCTGCAGTTTATAGAATGTGAGAAGTTCCCGTTCTCTGTCCTCATCAGAGTCCCTTACATCCATCTTCATTCTCAGTGGTTCCCCAGACGCATGTTCCCTTAGCAGACTCTCTTTGTAAACCTTGGCAGCTTGAGCTGGTTCTTTAATAAGCTTCCATTCTAAACAATGATAATAAAGTTTTCCATTACAGGGAGACTTGGAGTTGGTGTGTTACATGCAGATACAGATATCCACCCAGTCTACAGAAAAGGAGAACAGTTATGTCTATGCCACTGACAAATATGTGAAACATCGTTAGAAACTGTTAAAAAGCTGAGATAAAAAAGCAAAATAGAATTCTGAACAAAAAGTAAATATTTTCAACTGAACATACTGTAACCTAGTTGCATCTTATAATATGTGCGTAATTCTATCGTCTAATCATATGTTGTTTTTCTATTGACTGAGTTTATATTACACACAATTGTAGAGAAATTGTACTGTGATGACATAAACCTTTGTCCTCAGTGTTAATCACTGCTGATACAACTGCACTCTCAGCTGATGTTCCAGGCCTCACTGGAACACTGTCATTGACTGAGGCTGTCTCTATCATTTTCTTCACTTGGACCTGCCCCTTGATCTGTTACCGAGTCCTGCATGTGTGTCCTTGAAGTGAACAAATTAAAATGATCATAATCATACTCCCTTTATTGTGTGGTCAACACTTTAAGAGAGATACGTTTCAAAACAAAAAAAATATGCCATCCTTGCACTTCTGCATAAAGCACCTACCCATTGCAGCTCAGTCTGTGAACCTTCATTTCCGAAAAAGGAACTGCCTTTTCACAAGTGAGGCAGGGGATGTCTGGCCCGGAGGCATGATGTGAGCCCTCCTCCTAACAACAACAAATTGCTTTTAATTAATGATTAAAAATTAACAGTGAGTGTTGTTTAGATTATGTATTAAACTTGAGTCTCTGTAAATGTATGTACACAATCTATGGGTAGATCCTGTTGAAGTGGACGTATGTAGATAGTAGCCTGTCCAATCATCGTTGATGGATCTTTTAGATAGGCAAGAGTGTATCCAGAGCTGGGACATGGAAGCAATGCAAGATTTCGACTGCGAGTAGATCCTGAAATCTTTAGAAGTTCAAAACCTCCTCCGTCTTGGAGCTTGGGAAATACTTCCATCAGTTTATTTGTTAACACCATGGGATCAGTGTCATTCCCTGTGAAAACAAAAAAATATATACATTACTCATAGCGACTCACTTGAAACTGAGCAAATGCCTGTAACATTATTCACACAATGAACATAAATTAAGCTAGAGTCATGAACATATTGTATATATAGGGCTTTAAAATGTAATGCGGAGTAAAATTGCAATCATTTCAACGAGCCACAGATAATGCTAATTTTTTTGTTTTTGGTAAATTAGTAGTTACATACATACTGACCTGTAATTGTTATTTTTTGCTCTCCAAGTCCTGAAGCAAGGAGGTCTGCTTTAAGAGTTGTGTTTGGAACTTTATCCGCTTTGTGTTCAGCCAAACAGCAGACTGTGTGTGTGTAGCTTCTTCGGCTGATTTGAACTGCTGGTCGTCTTGCCCTATTCCCTCTATTAGCTCCACCACCATTATATGGCGCAAAGAGCCTCGCTATCTCGGCTGTAACAGAGAAACATGTCACAGCTTCATCTTCTATCTGTGGTGTTTCTGCCAGCCAACACAATTTGCCGTGGATTAGATATCTAGCTTTATACTCCTACCCTTACATAGTCATCATAAGCAACCCATCAACCACAAATAAATGTTGATCCAATTAAATTACAACGTAGAAGCACAAGCGATATTTAGCTTACCTTGGACAGGTGTTCTAGAGGGTGTAGCAGGTATCTGAAGCGACTGAGCCGCCACCGGAGGCTGAGAAGTTCTGTTTAGAGCTTCTTCTATTAAATTTGCTGCCTCTCGCAGCAACTCGGGGAGACTTTTTGCCATTTTGCCCAGCAACGCGCACGTTAACACCGAAGCAACGAGAGCCAGCACATGGACCAGCGTGCTCGATTTTCTTCTGCTACCAATCTAGGCGCATTTACCGCCACCTACCGGGCGGATGAGTGTTCTTTACGATTATTGAGAAACAGCGGAAACAGCAGATATTAATTTAAAGATGGAGTGATCGAGGCTTGTGTTTAGTTGTTTTTGCTTGAGTATTCAAACCTACGTAAGGGAGAATAGCGCCACCCAGCGTATCGGAGTATGTTCACTAGTCTGCATCAATCCATTATTCTGGAATTGATTTGCCTTGACTCGATGAGCAGGATGACCAATCAGGTGTTAGGACCCACCCCTCAAACTTTGATGGGCGAGTTTGACAGATAAAATTAATTCATGAAACACTGCAACACAGGACCATGAAATAATTAATTAAATAGATAAATAATTATATATTTTTTTTACACAGAATCATTGGTAATTTAATTAATTAATGACACATTTAATTAATTAATGACACATGTATTTAATTATTTAATGGTGTATTTATTTATTTAATTGTGGCACTTTCAATCCTCCATAGGTAAATAGTCAGAATGTGCTTCAAATGTAACTGTTTTGTCCTCACTAACTGTGTATGGTATGATTCTGTGCTTAGACCCTGCAGACACTATCTCCAGGACCCTCTGTCTGCAGCCCCCAGTCCCACAGCCAGATACACCCCCTCCCAGCACCTGCCCGAGGTTAACACATTGTGACCATTTTTCTCGTTCTTAGTGAGACATTTCTTGTATCTTTTTAAAACAAGTTCATTTTGCTTTTTCCAGTTGGGGAATCCTGTTTAAACACAGTCAGAATGTGCTCAAATTACAACATGTTTGGCCTAATTTGAGCAATTTTTGACGTATTTTTAAACATGTTTTGCAGTGTAGCTTCTTCTTCGAGGGGGTTACACTGTGGGACTCTCTCCATTGGACTAAAACTACAGACTAATGTGAACATCCTCAGCAGAGTTAAACAGTGGTTAGGATCGAGGCAGAGTTGTTCTCATGTCTATATTTGAATTTAATTGTATGAAATGTAAAATCCCCCTGTGGACTAGTGTTGAAATCTAGCCCATACAGTACCACAATGCATCTGGTTTCAATGTTATTGTTATGTCCATATTCAATAAATACAGAAAGTAGAGTTTTAACATAGTGAACAGTCTGTGAATTGCTTTTTTCCCCAACTTAGTCATAATCATAATAATGCAATGGTTTTATATAGTGCAGTGTTTCTGGACACACACACACGCTTCACAGCATTTTTATCTCACTCCAAACATGCAAACTACTGTAGCCACAGCTGCCCTGGGGCACACTGACAGAAGCCCCTCCCACCACCACCAACCATTCACACACACACCAGACTCATTCTAATGTGGGGGAAGTATCTTGCCTAAGGACACAATGACAGTTCCCAGAGGTCTCCCATCACAGTACTAACCAGACCCTGCCCTGCTTTGCTTCAGAGGCCTCACATGCAAGTACGGCCACTGAACTTAAACTAGAGACCTGTCAAAAGCACAAGCATCTGTTGAGAATCACAAAAGACCAGTGATAATTTATACAGTTAGACTAAATATTCACAATAAAATACTGTCTCCCTCTCCCAGTCCGACCAGTGACTCTCTCTCCACTGTCTCCCTCTCCCAGTCCGACCAGTGACTCTCTCCACTGTCTCCCTCTCCCAGTCCGACCAGTGACTCTCTCTCCACTGTCTCCCTCTCCCAGTCCGACCAGTGACTCTCTCTCCACTGTCTCCCTCTCCCAGTCCGACCAGTGACTCTCTCCACTGTCTCCCTCTCCCAGTCCGACCAGTGACGCTCTCTCCACTGTCTCCCTCTCCCAGTCCGACCAGTGACTCTCTCTCCACTGTCTCCCTCTCCCAGTCCGACCAGTGACTCTCTCCACTGTCTCCCTCTCCCAGTCCGACCAGTGACTCTCTCTCCACTGTCTCCCTCTCCCAGTCCGACCAGTGACTCTCTCTCCACTGTCTCCCTCTCCCAGTCCGACCAGTGACTCTCTCTCCACTGTCTCCCTCTCCCAGTCCGACCAGTGACTCTCTCCACTGTCTCCCTCTCCCAGTCCGACCAGTGACTCTCTCTCCACTGTCTCCCTCTCCCAGTCCGACCAGTGACTCTCTCCACTGTCTCCCTCTCCCAGTCCGACCAGTGACTCTCTCCACTGTCTCCCTCTCCCAGTCCGACCAGTGACTCTCTCCACTGTCTCCTTCTCCCAGTCCGACCAGTGACTCTCTCTCCACTGTCTCCCTCTCCCAGTCCGACCAGTGACTCTCTCCACTGTCTCCCTCTCCCAGTCCAACCAGTGACTCTCTCTCCACTGTCTCCCTCTCCCAGTCCAACCAGTGACTCTCTCCGCTGTCTCCCTCTCCCAGTCCGACCAGTGACTCTCTCTCCACTGTCTCCCTCTCCCAGTCCAACCAGTGACTCTCTCCACTGTCTCCCTCTCCCAGTCCGACCAGTGACTCTCTCCACTGTCTCCCTTTCCCAGTCCGACCAGTGACTCTCTCCACTGTCTCCCTCTCCCAGTCCGACCAGTGACTCTCTCTCCACTGTCTCCCTCTCCCAGTCCGACCAGTGACTCTCTCCACGTCTCCCTTTCCCAGTCCGACCAGTGACTCTCTCTCCACTGTCTCCCCTCTCCCAGTCCGACCAGTGACTCTCTCTCCACTGTCTCCCTCTCCCAGTCCGACCAGTGACTCTCTCTCCACTGTCTCCCTCTCCCAGTCCGACCAGTGACTCTCTCCACTGTCTCCCTCTCCCAGTCCGACCAGTGACTCTCTCTCCACTGTCTCCCTCTCCCAGTCCGACCAGTGACTCTCTCTCCACTGTCTCCCTCTCCCAGTCCGACCAGTGACTCTCTCCACTGTCTCCCTCTCCCAGTCCGACCAGTGACTCTCTCCACTGTCTCCTTCTCCCAGTCCGACCAGTGACTCTCTCTCCACTGTCTCCCTCTCCCAGTCCGACCAGTGACTCTCTCCACTGTCTCCCTCTCCCAGTCCAACCAGTGACTCTCTCTCCACTGTCTCCCTCTCCCAGTCCAACCAGTGACTCTCTCCGCTGTCTACCTCTCCCAGTCCGACCAGTGACTCTCTCTCCACTGTCTCCCTCTCCCAGTCCGACCAGTGACTCTCTCTCCACTGTCTCCTTCTCCCAGTCCGACCAGTGACGCTCTCCACTGTCTCCCTCTCCCAGTCCGACCAGTGACTCTCTCCACTGTCTCCCTCTCCCAGTCCGACCAGTGACTCTCTCTCCACTGTGTCCCTCTCCCAGTCCGACCAGTGTCTCTCTCCACTGTCTCCCTCTCCCAGTCCGACCAGTGTCTCTCTCCACTGTCTCCCTCTCCCAGTCCGACCAGTATCTCTCTCCACTGTCTCCTTCTCCCAGTCCGACCAGTGTCTCTCTCCACTGTCTCCTTCTCCCAGTCCGACCAGTATCTCTCTCCACTGTCTCCTTCTCCCAGTCCGACCAGTATCTCTCTCCACTGTCTCCATCTCCCAGTCCGACCAGTATCTCTCTCCACTGTCTCCTTCTCCCAGTCCGACCAGTGACTCTCTCTCCACTGTCTCCCTCTCCCAGTCCGACCAGTGACTCTCTCCACTGTCTCCTTCTCCCAGTCCGACCAGTGACTCTCTCTCCACTGTCTCCTTCTCCCAGTCCGACCAGTATCTCTCTCCACTGTCTCCTTCTCCCAGTCCGACCAGTGACTCTCTCTCCACTGTCTCCCTCTCCCAGTCCGACCAGTGACTCTCTCTCCACTGTCTCCCTCTCCCAGTCCGACCAGTGTCTCTCTCCACTGTCTCCTTCTCCCAGTCCGACCAGTGACTCTCTCCACTGTCTCCATCTCCCAGTCCGACCAGTATCTCTCTCCACTGTCTCCTTCTCCCAGTCCGACCAGTGACTCTCTCTCCACTGTCTCTCTCTCCCAGTCCAACCAGTGACTCTCTCTCCACTGTCTCCTTCTCCCAGTCCGACCAGTGACTCTCTCTCCACTGTCTCCTTCTCCCAGTCCGACCAGTGACTTTCTCTCCACTGTCTCCCTCTCCCAGTCCGACCAGTGACTCTCTCTCCACTGTCTCCCTCTCCCAGTCCGACCAGTGTCTCTCTCCACTGTCTCCCTCTCCCAGTCCAACCAGTGACTCTCTCCACTGTCTCCCTCTCCCAGTCCGACCAGTATCTCTCTCCACTGTCTCCTTCTCCCAGTCCGACCAGTGTCTCTCTCCACTGTCTCCTTCTCCCAGTCCGACCAGTATCTCTCTCCACTGTCTCCTTCTCCCAGTCCGACCAGTATCTCTCTCCACTGTCTCCATCTCCCAGTCCGACCAGTATCTCTCTCCACTGTCTCCTTCTCCCAGTCCGACCAGTGACTCTCTCTCCACTGTCTCCCTCTCCCAGTCCGACCAGTGACTCTCTCTCCACTGTCTCCCTCTCCCAGTCCAACCAGTGACTCTCTCTCCACTGTCTCCTTCTCCCAGTCCGACCAGTGACTCTCTCTCCACTGTCTCCTTCTCCCAGTCCGACCAGTGACTTTCTCTCCACTGTCTCCCTCTCCCAGTCCGACCAGTGACTCTCTCTCCACTGTCTCCCTCTCCCAGTCCGACCAGTGACTTTCTCTCCACTGTCTCCCTCTCCCAGTCCGACCAGTGACTTTCTCTCCACTGTCTCCTTCTCCCAGTCCGACCAGTGACTCTCTCTCCACTGTCTCCCTCTCCCAGTCCAACCAGTGACTCTCTCTCCACTGTCTCCTTCTCCCAGTCCGACCAGTGACTCTCTCCACTGTCTCCTTCTCCCAGTCCGACCAGTGACTCTCTCTCCACTGTCTCCCTCTCCCAGTCCGACCAGTGACTCTCTCTCCACTGTCTCCTTCTCCCAGTCCGACCAGTGACTCTCTCTCCACTGTCTCCTTCTCCCAGTCCGACCAGTATCTCTCTCCACTGTCTCCATCTCCCAGTCCGACCAGTATCTCTCTCCACTGTCTCCTTCTCCCAGTCCGACCAGTGACTCTCTCTCCACTGTCTCTCTCTCCCAGTCCAACCAGTGACTCTCTCTCCACTGTCTCCTTCTCCCAGTCCGACCAGTGACTCTCTCTCCACTGTCTCCTTCTCCCAGTCCGACCAGTGACTCTCTCTCCACTGTCTCCTTCTCCCAGTCCAACCAGTGTCTCCGGGGTCTCGCAGCCGAGCGTCGAGTGGATCCAAATGAACGGAACACGAGTGATTGGATAAAACAGAAGAACAAACTGGTCTGAAAAGCTGGAACAAAAACATGTTTTCAGATTCTACACAGTCCTCAACAGCTTTGCAGATGTAGCTTTGCAGATGTAGCTTTGCAGATGTAGCTTTGCAGATGTAGCTTTGCAGATGTAGCTTTGCAGATGTAGCTTTGCAGATGTAGCTTTGCAGATGTAGCTTTGCAGATGTAGCTTTGCAGATGTACTTGCAGATGTAGCTTTGCAGATGTAGCTTTGCAGATGTAGCTTTGCAGATGTAGCTTTGCAGATGTAGCTTTGCAGATGTAGCTTTGCAGATGTAGCTTTGCAGATGTAGCTTTGCAGATGTAGCTTTGCAGATGTAGCTTTGCAGATGTAGCTTTGCAGATGTAGCTTTGCAGATGTAGCTTTGCAGATGTAGCTTTGCAGATGTAGCTTTGCAGATGTAGCTTTGCAGATGTAGCTTTGCAGATGTAGCTTTGCAGATGTAGCTTTGCAGATGTAGCTTTGCAGATGTAGCTTTGCAGATGTAGCTTGCAGATGTAGCTTTGCAGATGTAGCCTTGCAGATGTAGCTTTGCAGATGTAGCTTTGCAGATGTAGCTTTGCAGATGTAGCTTTGCAGATGTAGCTTTGCAGATGTAGCTTTGCAGATGTAGCTTTGCAGATGTAGCTTTGCAGATGTAGCTTTGCAGATGTAGCTTTGCAGATGTAGCTTTGCAGATGTAGCTTTGCAGATGTAGCTTTGCAGATGTAGCTTTTTGCAGATGTAGCTTTGCAGATGTAGCTTTGCAGATGTAGCTTTGCAGATGTAGCTTTGCAGATGTAGCTTTGCAGATGTAGCTTTGCAGATGTAGCTTTGCAGATGTAGCTTTGCAGATGTAGCTTTGCAGATGTAGCTTTGCAGATGTAGCTTTGCAGATGTAGCTTTGCAGATGTAGCTTTGCAGATGTAGCTTTGCAGATGTAGCTTTGCAGATGTAGCTTTGCAGATGTAGCTTTGCAGATGTAGCTTTGCAGATGTAGCTTTGCAGATGTAGCTTTGCAGATGATGTAGCTTTGCAGATGTAGCTTTGCAGATGTAGCTTTGCAGATGTAGCTTTGCAGATGTAGCTTTGCAGATGTAGCTTTGCAGATGTAGCTTTGCAGATGTAGCTTTGCAGATGTAGCTTTGCAGAGTAGCTTTGCAGATGTAGCTTTGCAGATGTAGCTTTGCAGATGTAGCTTTGCAGATGTAGCCTTGCAGATGTAGCTTTGCAGATGTAGCCTTGCAGATGTAGCTTTGCAGATGTAGCTTTGCAGATGTAGCTTTGCAGATGTAGCTTTGCAGATGTAGCCTTGCAGATGTAGCCTTGCAGATGTAGCTTTGCAGATGTAGCCTTGCAGATGTAGCTTTGCAGATGTAGCTTTGCAGATGTAGCCTTGCAGATGTAGCTTTGCAGATGTAGCTAAAACACAGACAGGGCTGAAGGTCCCGGACACTCAACATTCGACAACATTTATGGTGTTTCTGGTGCTTGAACTGCTGAGTCTCTGATCTGCGGTAAACGGTTTTGTAAAGTCCTCTGAGAAAACGACTGCCGTGATTTAGGGCTGTGGAAGAATAGATTGAGTTGAAGTGAAGTGTAGAGGACAGTACAGGACTGAGAACGGCTAAGTACAAGCTAACGTCAGATGTATGTGTTTGTCTTCGGTTGTGTCTGGACTAGTTTGGTAAAAGGCCATTTTTATCAAAGGGAAAAGTCTAGAATCACGGTCAAAACTGCCAGCCCTCCCCCTGATGTGTAGGACAAGTGTTATGGGCATGTGGAGCTGAAATGATAATGATAATAATAATAATGCATCGGTTTTATACAGCGCTTTTTGGACTCTCAAAGAAGCTCTACATGTCAGTATTCATTCTCTCCAAACACGGTGGTGATAAACTACTACTGTAGCCACAGCTGCCCTGGGGCACACTGACAGAAGAGAGGCAACCAGTCTGTGCCATCAGTCCCTCCCACCACCACCAACCATTCACACACACACCAGACTCATTCTGATGTGGGGGAAGTGTCTTGCCTATGGACACAACCTGTGTGAACACATACTGCTGTTGCATGAAGTCTGGTCTAATCCTGGTCTAATCCTGGTCTAATCCTGGTTTAGTCCTGGTTTAGTCCTGGTCTAATCCTGGTTTAGTCCTGGTTTAGTCCTGGTCTAATCCTGGTTTAGTCCTGGTTTAGTCCTGGTCTAATCCTGGTTTAGTCCTGGTTTAGTCCTGGTCTAATCCTGGTTCAGCTCCTGTTTTGGCTGTCTGTGTATTCGTCGTCTTGCTCTGACCCCGTAACCATTTTCCTGCTCTCTGATTGGTTGCTGTACGCGTGGCCAGCAGAGGTTCTTTTCCCGCTTTCGCAGCATGCATCAAGTCTCCGTACCCACCGCCGCAACGCCGCATCAGCCCTCACAAACGGGCGTCACCACTGACTTTGCATTGAAGTACAGACACGGACCCTTCTAACGTGCTAGCATCTGTGCTAGCATCTGTTCACACGATACAAACACCGGTGCCATTTTTCACAGTTATACATTCACCACAAACCTCATTTTCTGCCATTTCCGTCCGAGCGATAAAAAGTCCCCTCTTCAAACTGGACAGTGCTTAATGTATAGATTGTTGTGATAATGTGTGGATATTCTATCGCTAATCAATGCTACGCTAATCTTCAGGGACTGCACCAGCGGCAAAACTAAGTCTGCATCTGATTTTTTATACTGAAAAAGACATAAATGATGTGTTTTCAGCCCGTGTGAACATTAGAAAAGAGTCCAAAGGAATTTTAATCCAAAACACTGGAACAGACACAGATTTTAACATTTTTAAAGATTTCCAAATGTTTCCTTTTGATTAAGCGATGCCTGTTGTGTGTCCAATACTCACTGTAGTTATTGTACCGTATTGTTATTAGTATTTATTTCACTGCTTCACCACAAACAAACAACGTCCTGAATTTGTCCCACAGTGAGGACATTTCAGAGACATCGTTGCACATTAAAGTAGAATAAAAGAAGGGAATCAGACCCAGATTGCACACAAAGTAATGCTTATTTATATAGCGCATTTCACAGACCAATGGCACCCAACACGCTTCACAAGGTTCAAAGTTCAGATATTGTTTCTTTCTCTCCACACACCAGAACACACTGGTCCATCAAAGCCTCCGACCAAACACAATCCAATCACTTACTATATTCAGACCCATTGTGCATGACTTTAGTGGTAGGGGAAACCGGAGCACCTGGAGGAAACCTACGTAGACACAGGAAGAACATACAAACCCAGGGATTCGAACCCAGGACCTTCTTGCTGAGAGGTGAGAAGGTCCTGGGATTGTTATTACCCATGACAAGTGACTAGCTACACGGTTCGGGTGATCGTGGTCTGTAAAAATGCACTGAATAAATCGGTGAGTGACACGTGTACAGACTCAGCAGTTCTCGTTGTACAGTCTGACAGCAGCAGCGAGGAAAGACCTGCGGAACCTCTCCTTCACACAGCGAGGGTGAATAAGTCTGTCACTGAAGCTACTCTCCAGAGCAGCCTTGAGCCCAGAGCCCACTCAACTCAGCCCAGAGTTGAGTTGTATTATGCGTTGCTTGTTCTCCCCGTGCAAAGAGACCCTTCCAAAGTGCGTACATCTGTTGACAAAGCAACACAAAAGACCAGTGGTATTTTCTAAAGTTCAGCTCAACACTCACAGCCACAAACTTCTTTCTCTGCCTTTTCCATTCACGCTGTAAAAACTCATCTCGTCAACTTCCAGTCACTATTTTTCCAACTTTGCAAAGAGATGCCACAGTTCTTCAAAAGTTCACTGTTTTTCTCCCCAACCCTCGCCAAAGTCTTCTTCTTCCATTCTAATTGTCACATTTTGAACTTAACTCTTCCAAGTCTCCGGGGACTCGCACCAGCCTCAAACCTCCGAGTGCAGAGATTGGAGATTGCAGATTTTCTCGGAGGTCTCGTTGCATGTCAAGTACGTGGTGATGATTGGAGCACGGGTTTTCTCAGCCCTCGCAGACTCTCGCATTGTTGCTCTGACAGATCGTAGCAAAAGGCGCCTGGAAGTAAGAGCTGATTTAGGAGTGGATCCCGAGGACACGCTTGTTTTTCCAGAAGACGAGATGAATAAATAAAGTAATACGCGTGTCCCCTGACATCTAAAGGCCCACAGGGGGTTCTGGTGTCGCAGTAAGTTTTCTTCCCGATTCTTGTCAAATACAAACAGCAATAAACAAAGAGAGAATCCAACTTCTGCCTCAAAGACTTCCATTGTCTTTGAGGGAGTTTAAAAATGATAATGATCGTTTTTACAGCGCTTTGTGGCCACAGCTGCCCTGGGGCACACTGACAGAAGCGAGGCAACCAGTCTGTGCCATCAGCCCCTCCCACCACCACCAACCATTCACACACACACCAGACTCATTCTAATGTGGGGGAAGTGTCTTGCCTAAGGACACACCGACAACTTGGCACTTTACAACTGCAGCCACCCCACTGTGGCACCTGCTGTTCCCTGAGGTCTCCCATCACAGCACTAACCATGCACTGTATGAAGTATGATCATATTAGTCCAGTTCTCAGGTCTCTGCACTGGCTTCCTGTGGCTCAGAGAATAGACTTTAAAACAGCTCTGCTTGTTACAAGTCTCTCCATGGCCTCGCACCAAAATATATTAGTGACATGTTAGTCCCATATGAACCAGCCCGGACTCTGAGGAGCACAGGGACTGGACTCCTGCTGGGACTCTGAGGAGCACAGGGACTGGCCTCCTGCTGGGACTCTGAGGAGCACAGGGACTGGCCTCCTGCTGGGACTCTGAGGAGCACAGGGACTGGACTCCTGCTGGGACTCTGAGGAGCACAGGGACTGGCCTCCTGCTGAGACTCTGAGGAGCACAGGGACTGGACTCCTGCTGGGACTCTGAGGAGCACAGGGACTGGACTCCTGCTGGGACTCTGAGGAGCACAGGGACTGGACTCCTGCTGGGACTCTGAGGAGCACAGGGACTGGACTCCTGCTGGGACTCTGAGGAGCACAGGGACTGGACTCCTGCTGGGACTCTGAGGAGCACAGGGACTGGACTCCTGCTGGGACTCTGAGGAGCACAGGGACTGGACTCCTGCTGGGACTCTGAGGAGCACAGGGACTGGACTCCTGCTGGGACTCTGAGGAGCACAGGGACTGGACTCCTGCTGGGACTCTGAGGAGCACAGGGACTGGACTCCTGCTGGGACTCTGAGGAGCACAGGGACTGGACTCCTGCTGGGACTCTGAGGAGCACAGGGACTGGACTCCTGCTGGGACTCTGAGGAGCACAGGGACTGGCCTCCTGCTGGGACTCTGAGGAGCACAGGGACTGGACTCCTGTTAGTGTCCAGAGTCAGGACTAAACATGGGGAGGCTGCTTTTCAGATTCATGCTGCTAAAATCTGGAACAATCTTCCTGAAGATGTGAGACAGGCCTCCTCTCTGACAATGTTTAAAACCAGGTTAAAGACAGTTCTGTTTAACTGTGCTACAACTGAGGGATTTTATATTTTAATCTTTCTTTTGAATGTTCAGTGATTTTTTATGATTCTAATGCTTTCTTATCTTGTTCAGCACTTTGAATTGCCTTGTTTATGAACTGTGCTATATAAATAAACTTGCCTTGCTTGAGAAAACAAATGACAGAGACATGATTATAAAAGTCAAACACACATGAATCATTCTGTTGGAGTCTGAGTGTTTGGTTTCTGTTGGATCTGCAGCCTCGGCCTCAGTCAGACGTGGAGCAACAGTGCCACCATGTGACGCATCAGGGAACTGCAGGAGAGTTGGCTCAGAACACATGTTTAGATATATACAGGGTCAGGGCTGACTCCACCTTTAAATAAACGTATGTATTTGGTTTATATGGTCCCATTACCCCTTTAAGCTCCTTTCAGTGTCTTGTGTCAGGTTAATTTTGTCGTGTTCAGTCGTTTTTGGTCCCTTACAACGATGCTAACCCTGCAACTCAATGAAGCCAGAAAGGGAAGTGCCCATGGGTGAAGTTTTCCTCGGTCTGTCTCCTGTTAATTTACATTGAAAAGTAAACTCCTCTGTTTGTCTCACAGTCATCATTATGGCTTTAAACTAAATGTCGTTTTCATATTGTCTTTGTTAATCCAGAGAAAAACAGCGTAAATAAAAAGTACTGTATCTGGGACATTTAGACATTTCTGGACATTTTCACCAGCTCTTATGTGTTTGTTTTTATTTCTGTTTGACTCATGTTGAGCCTTATACACATTGGAGCTGACAGAACTGACCTGAAGAAGTATTTTCCACACAGCAATCAATCACAAGATGTTTATTCCAGAACATGAACAGCAGCCCACTGAACTAAACAACATCATATTTGTACGATCATGTTCTGAGACCGAGACTGAAGGCTTCAGAGAACGGGTACAATACCAGAACAGAGAAGGAGGCACTCTGAAAATTGTCCGGTCTGTGTTAGTGCGATGGCCTGTGGTGAGTTGTAGTGAAAATGTTTAGTGATTAGATCGATACATTCAGCTGAGACTGATCCAAATGTGTAGTTTGACTTTGGCGACTCAGAGAGAGAACTTTACAAAAACACAATGCTGTCCGCTATCCTCTGCTCTCTCCTTTATCTATATCATTATGACTTCAGTTGTAGTCTGTTTATTGCTATTCATGCACTGTTCCATTATCGTGGGCTGCCCCTCCTCTCCGCCTGGGAGCCACACAGCCTCAGTCCTCGTTCTACAGTCTGAGTCCTGGGTCTCTCTCTCATGATGCAGGAGGAGGACAGTGATGAGCCATGACACATTTATAAACGTTCACATCTCGCTCCCAATGGTTCCGATGTGTTTGATTTTCTGATCTGTTGTTGGTGAATGAACAACTTCAAACAGTCCTCAGAGTGACTGCTGCTGTGTTATTAAGGTTATATAAACAATTTATGAATTGTATTGAGTTTGCAGCTATGAAGGTGCAGTGAGCGTGTTTGCACTTCCACCCTGTCACCAGCAGATGGCGGTAGTTCACAATAAGCAGCGCCTCACTGCAGCAACAGCCTCTGGTTCTGTAGGAACTTCTGAATTACACGTTTTCCACAAAGAGCACAAACAAACTTTTTAATTGTAGCACTTTTTAATGCACTCCCCTCGAGCTGTAACAATTATTTAAGATTCAAAGTTCAAAAACTAAATATAAACAATCATACAAGGGATTAAATAATATATATAATCACAGTATGTTTAAAACAGTAAAAATAAAATCCTTTATTTGAACTGTGTCAGAGAAGAAGTCTGTCTCACATTTTCAGGAAGATTGTTCCAGATTTTAGCTGCATACATATGAATAGGTGACTTCCCATGTTTAGTCCTGACTCTGGGACCAGCAGGAGGCCAGTCCCTGTGCTCCTCAGAGTCCCAGCAGGAGACCAGTCCCTGTGCTCCTCAGAGTCCCAGCAGGAGACCAGTCCCTGTGCTCCTTAGAGTCCCAGCAGGAGTCCAGTCCCTGTGCTCCTCAGAGTCCCAGCAGGAGTCCAGTCCCTGTGATCCTCAGAGTCCCAGCAGGAGTCCAGTCCCTGTGCTCCTCAGAGTCCCAGCAGGAGACCAGTCCCTGTGCTCCTCAGAGTCCCAGCAGGAGACCAGTCCCTGTGCTCCTTAGAGTCCCAGCAGGAGGCCAGTCCCTGTGCTCCTCAGAGTCCCAGCAGGAGGCCAGTCCCTGTGCTCCTTAGAGTCCCAGCAGGAGGCCAGTCCCTGTGCTCCTCAAAGTCCCAGCAGGAGGCCAGTCCCTGTGCTCCTCAGAGTCCCAGCAGGAGACCAGTCCCTGTGCTCCTTAGAGTCCCAGCAGGAGGCCAGTCCCTGTGCTCCTCAGAGTCCCAGCAGGAGACCAGTCCCTGTGCTCCTTAGAGTCCCAGCAGGAGACCAGTCCCTGTGCTCCTTAGAGACCAGTCCCTGTGCTCCCTTGCTCCTCAGAGTTAGAGTCCCAGCAGGAGTCCAGTCCCTGTGCTCCTCAGAGTCCCAGCAGGAGTCCAGTCAGGAGGCCAGTCCCTGTGCTCCTTAGAGTCCCAGCAGGAGACCAGTCCCTGTGCTCCTCAGAGTCCCAGCAGGAGGCCAGTCCCTGTGCTCCTCAGAGATGTACCTTGGTTTCTAATGTTTTCTAAAAAGATAAAGAGAGAACTTTGTGGTTTCAGACTCTGTATTATTTTATCATTTATGACAGATTAACAAACATTTATTATTGATTTGGGAAAGAAAACATTTCCTTTGAAAACTATACTGCAGTCACTAAACTATTACAGACTCTTTTCTCTTGACTCTGCTCTGGATCTAATCTCAGACTGTGATCAGGAAACTACGCTAACAACATGTGTTTTCTCCAACAGGAAACTCTGAGACTGACTTTAACTGATACACAGAATAATGAGAGAGAGAGAGAGAGAGAGAGAGAGAGAGAGAGAGAGAGAGAGACAGAGAGAGAGAGAGAGAGAGAGACAGAGAGAGAGAGAGAGAGAGAGAGAGAGAGAGAGAGACAGAGAGAGAGGGAGAGAGAGAGAGAGAGAGAGAGAGAGACAGAGAGAGAGACAGAGAGAGAGAGAGAGAGAGAGACAGAGAGAGAGAGAGAGACAGAGAGAGAGAGAGAGACAGAGAGACAGAGAGAGAGAGAGAGACAGAGAGAGAGAGAGAGAGAGAGAGAGACAGAGAGAGAGAGGAGAGAGAGAGACAGAGAGAGAGAGAGAGAGAGAGAGAGGAGAGAGACAGAGAGAGAGAGAGAGACAGAGAGACAGAGAGAGAGTTGAGAGACAAGAGAGAGAGAGAGAGAGACAGAGAGACAGGAGAGAGAGAGGGAGAGAGAGAGAGAGAGAGAGAGAGAGAGAGAGAGACCAGAGAGAGAGACAGAGAGAGACAGAGAGAGAGACAGAGAGAGAAGAGAGAGACAGAGAGAGAGAGAGAGAGACAGAGAGACAGAGAGAGAGAGAGAGAGAGAGAGAGAGAGAGAGAGACAGAGAGACAGACGAGAGAGAGAGAGAGAGAGAGAGAGAGAGAGAGACAGAGAGAGAGAGAGAGAGAGAGAGACAGAGAGAGAGACAGAGAGAGAGACAGAGAGAGACGAGAGAGAGACAGAGAGAGAGAGAGAGACAGAGAGACAGAGAGAGAGAGAGGAGACAGAGAGAGACGAGAGAGAGACGACGAGAGAGAGAGAGACGAGCAGAGAGAGACAGAGAGAGAGGGCAGGGAGAGAGAGAGAGACGAGAGAGAGCGAGAGCGACAGAGAGAGAGACAGAGAGAGAGAGAGACAGAGAGAGAGGGGCAGAGAGAGAGACAGAGAGAGAGAGGAGAGAGACAGAGAGAGAGAGAGAGAGAGAGAGAGAGAGAGAGAGACAGAGAGAGAGAGAGAGAGAGAGCGAGAGAGAGAGAGAGACAGGTACAAAATAACACACAATCTGCATCATGGAAATTATGATGGAACAAAATATAAAAACTATTACTATTGTAAGTTATAAGACATAACTTACAATAGTAGTAATAGTTTTTATATTTGCCCTTTATTATTCAATTTCTGACTCAGGGTGTCTTGCCCAAAAACACAACAACAGCAGTGGAATCAGAGATGACACCGGTCATGGGGGGGCATCGAACCCACAACCAATGCTCTACCAACCGAGCCACTGTCACCACTTTTAAATATTCTCTGCTGAAAATACATCTGCTGCTCCAGGACAGAACGAGGAAGCTAACGATGCTAGCACGCTAACAGCAGGAAACAAACAATAACATGTAAATATATTATAAACTAGTACTAATACATCCCTATTCGCCCTGACCAAGACCCAAGAGCGGTTAAAACGCACCAAAATGTCCAAAAATAATGAATTTAAATCAAAATAGGAACAAGTTAGATTTGTATGACATAGTTTCACTTGCTGTGTTTTTAGAATCAGGTCCCCCAGCTTTAATCGGTGGTCTGTGTGGTCCGGGGCCAAAGGCTAGAGTTTGTGTGTTTGAATCCTCGACACACACACACACACACACCCACACCCACACCCACACACACACACACACAGAGACACACACACACATCCTCCATCCTCCAGAACCACTCAGGGTCCAGGCCGTGAGACTTGCGTCCCCCTGGTCCTGGTCTCTGCGGAGACAAAGACTCAGCGGGACGTCCCATCCTCACACAGACAGACACACACACACACACACCCACACACAGACACGCACACACACACACACACACACACACAGAGCAGAGGAGGCAGATTTACGGCTCTCAGCTTTAAAGGCTCAGTTCATCCGGAAGTAAACCCCTGTGGAGTCGCAGCAGTACTTTAAATGTTTACTGCTGCTGCTGTGAGCTTTACACGGTGAGGCAAGTTTAATTGTGTAGCACAGTTTAGACACAATGCAACTCTAATGCTGCAAGACAAGATAAAAACAATAATACAAAACATTTAAATCATAAATAATCACAATATTCAGAATAGTAATGATAAAATACTTCAGTTGTAGCACCTCAGAGTCACCAGCAGGAGGTCAGTCCCTGTGCTCCTCAGAGTCCCAGCAGGAGTCCAGTCCCTGTGCTCCTCAGAGTCCCAGCAGGAGGCCAGTCCCTGTGCTCCTCAGAGTCCCAGCAGGAGGCCAGTCCCTGTGCTCCTCAGAGTCCCAGCAGGAGTCCAGTCCCTGTGCTCCTCAGAGTCCCAGCAGGAGTCCAGTCCCTGTGCTCCTCAGAGTCCCAGCAGGAGTCCAGTCCCTGTGCTCCTCCAGAGTCCCAGCAGGAGGTCAGTCCCTGTGCTCCTCAGAGTCCCAGCAGGAGTCCAGTCCCTGTGCTCCTCAGAGTCCCAGCAGGAGGCCAGTCCCTGTGCTCCTCAGAGTCCCAGCAGGAGGCCAGTCCCTGTGCTCCTCAGAGTCCCAGCAGGAGGCCAGTCCCTGTGCTCCTCAGAGTCCCAGCAGGAGGCCAGTCCCTGTGCTCCTCAGAGTCCCAGCAGGAGGCCAGTCCCTGTGCTCCTCAGAGTCCCATTAGGAGGTCAGTCCCTGTGCTCCTCAGAGTCCCAACAGGAGGCCAGTCTCTGTGCTCCTCAGAGTCCCAGCAGGAGGCCAGTCCCTGTGCTCCTCAGAGTCCCAGCAGGAGGCCAGTCCCTGTGCTCCTCAGAGTCCCAGCAGGAGGCCAGTCCCTGTGCTGTGATCCAATTATAAACCATGATATTCTGATTTCCTGAGTTTCACCTTTTTAAGAGGCTTTGGGCTCAGTGTTGATTGGCTGCTGCAGTAATCCTGTGTGTGTGTGTTTGTGTGTCTGTGTGTGTGTGTGTGTGTCTGTATGTCTCTCTCTGTATGTGTCTGACTGTGTGTGTGTGTGTGCGTGCGTTTGTTAGTGTGCACGTATGTGTGTGTGTGTGTGTGCATGAGATAAAACTGCTCCTTACTTTTGTACGTTTTAAACATTTCCAGAGAAGAAGCCTGTCTCACATTTTCAGGAAGATGTGAGACATACATTTCACCTATATAACTCTCTTTCACTGAAAACCAGGCTCCCCGATTTCAATGTCATTATTATTCATGTATCATTAAAACAATCCTTTTTGATATTTATTCATTTCAAATGTGGACTTGACAACACACATTACAAACACAAACACAACTCTAGTCCTGTCACACAACCGAAAAGAAGCAAAAAGACGCAAAAACTAAAAATCTTACATCGCCTGCCTTTTTCTTCAACATGTCCCCTTTAATGTAACCCCCCAAAACAACTCTGCACTGCCCCTTTAACTCCTCAGCCATTGGTCTGTCTGCATTCCTCTCTGCAACTCTGGGTCCAATCCCCTGCGTCCTCCACCACGGGCCCTTCCTCTGCTCTTCCCCGGGTTTCACGCAGTTGGTCCGGTCAATCACCCCCCCCAAAAAACCTCTCCTCCCATTTCTTTTATTTCCTCCAGAACAACTCCGAACCTTCCTCCTCCTCTGGCCCTTCCCCCCGCCCTCACACACACACACACACACACAGACACACACACACACACACACACACACACACACACACACACACACGCGCGTTGGCTTGGCACAGCAGACGCAAGAAGTCCCCGTGCGTAAAACCAAATGGACAAACTTTGATCGGGTGCAGCGCGCAGAGAAAGAGAGAGAGAAAGAGAGAGAAGAGAAGAGAAGAGAAGAGAGAGAGAAGAGAAGAGAAGAGAAGAGAAGAGAAGAGAAGAGAAGAGAAGAGAAGAGAAGAGAAGAGAGAGAGAAGAGAAGAGAAGAGAAGAGAAGAGAGAGAGAAGAGAAGAGAAGAGAGAGAAGAGAGAGAGAAGAGAAGAGAAGAGAAGAGAAGAGAAGAGAGAGAGAAGAGAAGAGAAGAGAAGAGAGAGAGAAGAGAGAGAGAATCTGATTTTGATGCAGGACTGCGCTCCTTTGCAGCACTTTTCCTCTGCGCGGGAACTGGGAGACGCTGCGGCTGGAACGCGCAGAGGTAAGAAGCTGGATTATGGCTGAGCAACGTGGGTCTGTGTGTTTTGGGGTCTGTAGATGGACGATGCCTCCCAAACAGCTCGGCATGACGTGGAGGTTTAATGTGGGCAGTGCAGGAGATGTGGTTATGTGTTGACAAAGGCTGTATTTTGGATTTAGTGTGAAATAATGGTCTAATATTTGGTTTTTAAATGTAAATAAGAGGATTTTCCCACATGTTTTGCAAAGAACCGGCCTCTCCACGCTCACAGAACTCTCTGGTCTTCTTTGACAAAGCAGTATCCGCAGAGTAATAATTAGGAGGACCAATAGGCTGAATGATCCACCCGGAAGTAGAAAATCCTCCTGGACCTTTAATCTTCCCCCAACTATTTTTAACAATCTTTGGTGTGTGTTTTGGTCCTGGAACTAGTGCGTACTGATATTATATTAGTCTGATATAAAATGAAAGAGCAACAGAAGAGAATTCTACCCCATGTTGTTATAGTTAGTGTGAGTCTATTGTTTAAGCAGTGTGTGTATGTAGTGAGATAGGGGTGTCCAAACTTATTCATCAGACCCACTTTAGTTCAGCAGACTTTTCAAATCTGGTTTTAATGTTATGAGTTTGATTCTCTGATCTTCTGCTGACCAATTGACAACTTTGTACCGACCCTGAGGCGACTTCTGGTTTAAAGGCTGCACAGAAATGTCAGTGAATGGAACAATAATGATTTTTTTGTTGTTGTTGGGTCTTGTCTGGTTTTATGTCTTCTGGAATAACTAAAATAATAGAATTGAATGATAACCATATAACAGGCAGCTAAAGTCAAAAGAGAAAGTTTAATAATGGTTTTAGATCAGAAGACCATAGAGCAACAATGTAACTCCAGATTATAACGACATACTGGGACGTTACCATGGTATTTACTCGATATTTCTTGTTCTTTTGTGAGTTCTCGCGCTGTATAAATAACTTCTTCTGGACTGTGTTGGTGAAACTCTTCCACACAGACTGAGGACTCGGACAGCCCTGTCTCGTGCCGCTCTGGTCATGTGACTAGATCTCTCCTCGATAGCATTTATGGTCTGACAGTTAGCTAGCATAAGAGCAGAGCGAGAATGGTTTCGCTTTCGCAGTCACAACACAACACAACACAACACAACACAACACAACACAACACGACACAACCATTGAAATCACCAACACAGATCAGAGAATCAACAGTTAAGACACATAAAGAATATAGATCACATGGTCCATAGGGAGAGACCACATGGTATTGGACCATAGGGAGAGACCACATGGTATTGGACCATAGGGAGAGACCACATGGTGTTGACCATAGGGAGAGACCACATGGTGTTGGACCATAGGGAGAGACCACATGGTATTGGACCATAGGGAGAGACCACATGGTGTTGACCATAGGGAGAGACCACATGGTGTTGGACCATAGGGAGAGACCACATGGTGTTGGACCATAGGGAGAGACCACATGGTGTTGACCATAGGGAGAGACCACATGGTGTTGGACCATAGGGAGAGACCACATGGTGTTGGACCATAGGGAGAGACCACATGGTGTTGGACCATAGGGAGAGACCACATGGTGTTGGACCATAGGGAGAGACCACATGGTGTTGGACCATAGGGAGAGACCAATGTCCATGAATGTTGACGATCCATACATGTTGTAAAATGTATAGATCCAGGACTCAGACTGTAGAACGAGGACTGAGGCTGTAGACCCAGGACTCAGACTGTAGAACGAGGACTGAGGCTGTAGACCCAGGACTCAGACTGTAGAACGAGGACTGAGGCTGTAGACCCAGGACTCAGAATGTAGAACGAGGACTGAGGCTGTAGATCCAGGACTCAGACTGTAGAACGAGGACTGAGGCTGTAGACCCAGGACTCAGACTGTAGAACGAGGAGCTCCAGGCGGCTCGGGGCAGTCCGCAGGCTGACAGAAAACACAACAGACGAGCAGGAGATTTGTTTGGACAGTTTTGACTCAGAATCTTAAATCTTAAGCATCTATTATCTTAAGTTTGTTTAAGCTCTGTCTACGGGGTTTATTCTAACCAATTCAACTATTGATAAATTACAAAACTTAAAGGAGCAGTGTGTAAACATGTGGCCAAAAGTGGTACTGCAGCCTCTCCCACTCTCCCTGACTCAGGTTGCCAGATATGCAGACGAATCCAGCTGGGACCATAACAGCTGAATAGACAAGAGTTTTGTCAACAACAAATCTATAACCAACACCTTTTTCACAAAGATAGAAATCCTGGTTTTATTCCTTGTTTTGTCGTTAATGATTTGAGAATCATAACGAGACCTTTTTTAGTTCTGCGCCACATGGTACTTTACCAGTGAGATTAGCTCCACGCGGTGAGTTCTGGCGCCCGGATCACAGACTTTCTGATTGGTGAAACGGTGGAGGGCGGGACATCGGAATGAAAACAATAACAAGATTTAGGGGCTGGAAAAGTAATTGTTAGGATTAGATAGCGATTTGACTTACGGAGGACAACTGCAGGACTGTACAAGGACTCTTCTGATGGTGCATCCATGTTTTGACTCTGATGTGACTGTCTCTTTGTGAAACGTACGTCTTTCCATGTGTGACGTGACAATGACTATATAAACTGTGTACTGCCTTTATTCTGTCTGAGAGAAAGAAACAATTGAAACCACTGGAACTTGAGAGAAACTTAAATAAACTTCCAGAGTTTGGCGCACCCTGATCCGTCTGTCTGCTTCATCCCTGACATAATTTAGAAATTCTAATATCTCTGAACTACTGTTATCAGTGAAAGAAGGATTGGAAAAGAACAGTTTATTATGGATATATATGACAGATTAGGACCCTTTAATGATGACAGATTAGGGCCCTTTAATGACAACAGTTTAGGGCCCTTTAATGACGACGGATTAGGGCCCTTTAATGATGACAGATTAGGGCCCGTTAATGACGACAATTTAGGGCCCTTTAATGACGACAGTTTAGGGCCCTTTAATTATGACAGATTAGGGCCCTTTAATTATGACAGATTAGGGCCCGTTAATGATGACAGATTAGGGCCCTTTAATGACGACAGATTTGGGCCCTTTAATGATGGCAGATTAGGGCCCTTTGATGACGACGGATTAGGGCCCTTTAATGACAACGGATTAGGGCCCTTTAATTATGACAGATTAGGGCCCTTTAATGACGACAGTTTAGGGCCCTTTAATGACGACGGATTAGGGCCCTTTAATGATGACAGATTAGGGCCCGTTAATGATGACAGTTTAGGGCCCTTTAATGATGACAGTTTAGGGCCCTTTAATGATGACAGTTTAGGGCCCTTTAATGACGACAGTTTAGGGCCCTTTAATTATGACAGATTAGAGCCCTTTAATTATGACAGATTAGGGCCCATTAATGATGACAGATTAGGGCCCTTTAATGACGACAGATTAGGGCCCTTTAATGATGAGATTAGGGCCCTTTAATGACGACAGATTAGGGCCCTTTAATGACGACAGATTAGGGCCCTTTAATGATGACAGATTAGGGCCCTTTAATGACGACATATCAGGGCCCTTTAATGACGACAGATTAGGGCCCTTTAATGACGACAGATTAGGGCCCTTTAATGACGACAGATTAGGGCCTTGACACTACAGTTGTTAGTAAATGTGAATCATGACAACGCTCTAAAGCTCTTTTTGTGAGTGTAAAGCCCGTGGATCAATAAGGACGATCGACTCCCTCTCTTCAGATGGGGAAACGAACATATGGCGCCGTAATCCGACACCTTTTGCTTCTGAAAGGACTTGTGCTTTTGACCTGAGATAAAGAAGTTTTGAGAAAGCACAGAACCAAAACCAAAGTCATGTGTCGTTTGGAAACTGGTTTTTCCACTAACTTTATATCAGTCCAATCGTATTAATGACATATTGTTTTGTGTTCCGTTGTTTCTGTGTTTCTCTGATGTGTGTTGGAGAATTTAGAGTTTTGTTAAGTTTTCTGAGATGTTGTGATTTAGGGATTTACAAGAATACATGAATGAAGGCTTTATTTCGAGCCGTGGCAAACAAGGACAAAGAACAACAACACAAAGAAACAGAAACAATACATCTTCATATACAAATATACATGTTCATATCAGGACTAGTCCGGTCGTACCACACCATTGTACTCATTTCATTTGTACTAAAGTCTGGATTAGCTTCATAGACTCCGTGAACAGGTGGGAGGGGCTAACTCCTTTTGCAGATTGAAACGATTGGATCTGAGTTTACTGTGACGTATGAGTGAGTGAGACATTTAGCATGTAGCCTAGCTTTAGCATGTAGCCTAGCTTTAGCATTAGCCTAGCTTTAGCCATCTCCTTTGCCGCTAACGGAGCCCGTGGGGAGTAGAGCCACAACATCTTTGCTTCAAAGACATTTACTAAACATTCCTCTTGCTCCGGCTTCAGTTTCTTGATATTTGGATTGAACCAGAACAGATTATTTTACTATCGCATTCTCCGACAAACTACAACCAGCAAATTCAGCACAAACTCTTGTAAAAGTCAGTGTTACATTGTTGCCATTTTCAACCTTAAAAACATGAAAACTTGCCGCAGAAACTACAAAATGCAACAATGAGGAGGTGGTGTTGAGGGAGTCTGTACAAACCTGCGTCTTTTACTGAACTAATCCAAATATACAATATACAGATGTCTCAGTACTATCTCCCATAAACTGTGTCTCTGGTGTCTCTCTGGTCTCTCTGGTCTCTCTCTCTGGTCTCTCTCTGGTCCCTCTCTCTGGTCTCTCTCTGGTCTCTCTCTGGTCTCTCTCTGGTCTCTCTCTCTGGTCTCTCTCTGGTCTCTCTCTCTGGTCTCTCTCTGGTCCCTCTCTCTGGTCCTTCTCTCTGGTCTCTCTCTCTGGTCTCTCTCTCTGGTCTCTCTCTGGTCTCTCTCTGGTCTCTCTCTGGTCTCTCTCTGGTCTCTCTCTGGTCTCTCTCTGGTCTCTCTCTC